TCTGTCATTTCTTTCGCCGACGTCCTGACCACCCTGCACGTTTCTCTCAACCCTGAGACGGCCTCATTGTCCACTGCTGTGCTGGTCCGTGGCAAGAGACAAATGGAAATCCATGTCCATATACATTAGATCTCTACATGGTACAAGCGATCAGGCATTTTTACAGAAACAAAAGGAAAAGATTAATAATTAGCAAACCAGGTTCTAAGCAGAGAGGGCAGCCCTTCCAGAATTATGAGCAATAAATGCCTGTTGTTTATAAACTATCCAATTGTTAGGGGGAAAGGATGTCCTGAGATAATTTCATACAGGCTTTGTGGACTCCACCCCCACTCCAGACTAAACCCATCAGGACATTGGGAAAGACAAATCCCATCACCACCAAGGGGAGGGTGGCTGGGACCTGAGGGTGGAGTTGGGCAGCCAGATTGGATATAAAAACCAGACACGTGGTCCTTGCTCCCTCTCTGGCTCGCGATCGCTCGCCTCCTGGCTTCACCGCTCCTGGCTGGCGGCCAACTCTGAGAGCGCCATTTTGGGATTCCTGATTGGCGGATCGGGTAGGACTTATTTAAAACTTTGTCTCCCACTTTTCTCCCAGAGCTGTACATTTCCTCATTTCCCTTTCCCTTGTAAATAAACCTTTTATTAACCTTTCACGTGTGCCTGCAGTAGAGCATTGATAAGTCCTTTTAAGCGCGCGGGTGAGGACCCACAGTCAGGCACCCCGTTTTGTATCGGGGTTGCTCTACAACACAATCAGTGGTATTTTGTTACAGCAACCCAAACAGATTAAGATAGGAAATTTCTACTGGTAATCCTTTAAACTCAACTGATTCTTTCCTTGATCATGTCTCATCTTTAAAGAGCCCAACAAAGGAATTTTTTCATTTCTGTTACAATGTTTCTTATTTCCATTTCTCTGCAGACATTACCTATCTGTTCTTACAATGTCGTCTACTTTCTCCATTAGACCCTTAGCGTATTAATCACAGTTATTAAAAATTCCCATTCTGATAATTCCATGTCTACTATATCTCAGTCTGGTTCTGATGCTTACTCTGTCTTTTCAAACTCTTATTTTGCCTTTTAGCAGGTCTTCTGATTTCTTCTTGAGAGCTAGGCATGGCGTACTGGGTGAAAAGAACTGAGATCAATAGAACTTTGCTCTACTAGCGTGAGATTTTATGTATATCTGTCTAACAGATATTGTTTATTGTTTTTTGTCTGGGGCTAAAATTTCCTCTGGTTGTTTTTCCTGCCCTGTTGTACTTAGGTTTCCCTAGAGACTTTGTAAGTAAAGCTTGAGAAATGTGGTTTTTTCAGTGGTAATCTCCTGGCATTAACTTAGCAGGTCTACTGATGTGATGGTAGAGTGTGGCAGAGTGGATGTGGTCTCTGGTCTAATGATTAGATCACAGTCTTTTAAATAAAAGTCTAAGTCCTTGTTACTGAATGCTTCTCAGTTTCACCTCTTCCCCTAGGCTGAGAGAGGAAGGATAAGAGGGTGGAGTTGGGTATTTTGCTTCCTCCTTGTGGAAATCTATTGGCATTGCAGGCTGGTATTTCTCTTCCACCTGGTTAGGGGCTGATAAAACCCTACATAGGTTGCATTCTAGGGAAAAGAATTTTCCTTGAGGGTAGGCTTTTGTTAAAAAGCTCAGAATGCTCTAGGCATATTTTTAAATGGTTCAATTTCCCCTATGCCTTGTGGAAGCTTGAAGGGACTTTTCTTCAATCTATACTCTCAGCACCTGGTAGGGGGCCTGAAGACAAAACTCATCAAATTATGGATCCCACCTAAGACAGGACCCCTTGAGAAGTTTATCCATGTTTAGTGTCCAGCAATTTGTCAATTACAGTACATGTTTTCCTATGCTGGCACTGGCTCCAGTTGCCCCTACTCTGGTAGGATGTATCTAGCTACCTGTCTCTCCAATTTTGGGGGCAGCAGTTATCTCTATGGCCTCAATTTTCTGATGGATCTAATAATTGTGATTGAAATTCAGTTTGTTCAGTTTTTCTTATTATGATGTCTATATTCATAGTTCCTGATATGAAGCTTTAAAATCCCTTGGATTTTCCTGACTTGAGAGGAATGTCTTCTGTTACCTTTGATAAGCCTTTTTCAGCCTTAAGCTATAAAGTGACTTTCGTGGGTTCTAGATTAGTTAGCTACAAGATAGGGGTTGGTCACCAGGGGAAAAAAAAAAGCCATAATTAGAACCTTCGGGGAAGTGAGAGGGATTAGCGATGAGCTTAAGTCATCAATGATTAATATTTAATCAATTATACATATGGAATGGAACCTTCATGAAGCTTTCAAATAACAGGGTTTGTAGAACTTCTGGGTTGAACACATTGAGGTGCTGAGAGGGTGGGGTGCCCAGAGAGAGAGGCCAGAAGCTCTGAATATTGATAATACCTTTTACCTTGGTTTGTGTAGCTTTTCCATTTGGCTTTCCTTGAATGTATTCTTTATAATAAATCAGTAATAGCATGCAAAGCATTATTCTGAGTTCTGTGAGCCATTCTAGCAAATTATCAAATCTGAAAAGGGAGCCTGCTAGAAGTATGGACAGCCTGGACTTATAACTGGTGTCTGAGATGTGGGGCAGTCTTGCGGGGCTATACCCTTCAACTGTGGGATCAGACTAATTCTGGGTAATGCTGTAACTGAATGAACTCAATGGACCCCCAACTGGTGCTGGGAGACTTGGATAATGGGTTATTGGTTTGGAAAATGTCCACATGGTGGCATCAGAAATAAATAGAAATAAATCCTAGCACTCTTGTTTTGAGGAAAGGGAGTTGACTTCTAAGCTCCTTACATATCAGAATGGAAACACAGTCTTCTACTCATTTTTAATTTCTTCTATAATAATTTCAGATTCCAACAGTACTTAAAATTATTTTCTGGCAGTTTGACAATGTATTCTTAGATATGACAATGAAAGTGGAAGCTACAAAAGGAAAATAAACAGGACTTCATCAGACTTAGAAACTTTGAGGCAACATTATCAAGAAACTGAAAAGCTTACTTACAAAATGGAAGAAAATATTTGTAAATCATACATCGGATATGGCAGAGTCTAGTATTCCAAAATATATATTAAAAAACTCAACAAGGGACAAACAACTCAATTTAAAAATGGGCAAAGAACTTAGCTATTTCTCTAAAAAGATACACAGGGCCTCCCCGTTGGCGCAGCGGTTGAGCGCTGGGTTGCGAAGCTGCCCGCAGCCTCTGCAGCGCCGGTTCGATCCCCGGCTGTTCCCCGGCCACCGGAGGAGGGTCCCACATGGCGCGCAGACCTCTCCTGCCGCCCGCTGCTCCCCTCAGCAGTGTACTTCAGTCCTTCTGCCTGTTCTGCTCCCTGCTCTGACTCTGGTGAATTCTCTCACCCTCCCGCGCTTCTGACTGTACCCAGTGCTTGTATAAATAAATAAATAAATACATAAATAAATAAATCTTTTAAAAAAAATAAAATAAAAAGATACACAGATGGCCAACTAACTTATGAAAAGGCGTTTGACATCATTAGTAATGTGCAGTAAAAGTGCAAATTAAAATCACAATGGGAGAAACTTCACACCCACTAAGATGGTATAATAGTAACAATGACAATAATAATAATAATTTTAAACTCCATGAAATCACAAGTTTCGGCAAAGATAAAAATGATGGTTGCACAACATTTTAAACACACTAAATGCCCCTGAATGGCATACTTGGGACAGTTAATTTTAAGTTGTGTATCTCAAAAAAATTTTTGGAATATTTTTCTATAGCATGCTATTCTGTTTCATGGTTGCAAGATTTGATATTTTCCCTTTGAATATATGTTTCCCTATACAATCTCGTTACCTTCCAGTTGCTTTCTTGTATAATTGGATTTTCACAAGTGTTAGATAATCCTAGGTTGCTTGTTCATATTTCAAAGGGAGATGAAAATCTAATGGGAACACTGGTCATATGGCTGTGGGTGTTGTGCTGGCAAATAATATATATATAATATATTATTATATAATATAAATATTAAGATTTATTTATTTATTTATACAAGCACTGGGTATAGTCAGAAGCGCGGGAGAATTCACCAGAGCCAGAGCAGGGAACAGAACAGGCAGACTGATGAAATACACTGCTGAGGGGAGCAGTGGGCATGGCAGAAGAGGTCTGTGCGCCATGTGGGATCCTCGCCGGCAGCCGGGGATTGAACCAGCGCTGCAGAGGATGCCGGGCAGCTTCACAGCCTGGCGCTCAACCGTTGCGCCACCAGGGGAAGCCCAAATTTTATATTTTAGAGCTTATAAGAGAGGCTCTAAAAATTTCCTGTATGAGAGTAAAACCACAACTGCCAACATTCTGGGAGCTGAGCAGCACAAGAGAACTTAGATTTATTTAACTTTATGGAGGTTACCACAAAAATTTGTCAAAAGGCAAAAAACTAAAAGTTATCAATTAGACTGATTTTATGGCCCCAAATATTGTCAGCACACATTTTAAATGTTGAAGCGTTTATTTTAAAAAACTTATATGGCAATACCTGAGATAGGACTTAACAGACATATAATATACATTCACTGACAAGATGAAATACAGTAGCAGATAAATACAAATAAAACTAGATCAGCAATTAATCTTATAAGACATTGAACTGCTTTCCTGGAAGAAGAGAGGTATTCAAGATAAGGAAAAGTAAAGAACACTGACAGCAGGGGAAACCACATTTTCAGATTTAAAAACCATGATAAGAGTTAATATTTGGGAGCAAGGTCCACTTGAAATTATAGCTCCTTTCTTCATGTCCAATAGGATAATGCATATTCCCAGAAGAAACATCACTAAGCTAAGAAAACATCACTCATATCTTTTCCATCCGCCGTCGAGAACGAAACCACTGTCCAAAGGACAAGGTCACTTCTCATCTTTCACATATGCATGGGTTATATTTCTAGTTTGTGGGCTGGTGACAACTCTTTCATTTTAGCCATGGTCATATGAAAACTCATATTAAAACTCCTGCTAAAAGAACAGCAACAGCAACAACTAATGCTATTCCACGATAGAAAATCAGCTGGCTCACTGTCAAAACACCTCCAATGGTGGACAATACATGCTGGCTGTTTTCTTCCATCAGCGGCAGTTGAACAGTCTGATTTTCTGGTCTGATGATATCAGGTAAAATCACTCCATTGATTACTTCTTTTTCCAGAATAGGGAGATCTGTTTGTGGAGTGTAGTGGTGAATTTACTTATGTGCTGGGTTTTGTAAGAAACATTACTGAAGGCTACATGAGAACACATTGTAAACAATGACCATCAAGCATTGGTTTGCGTGTGAGAAAATACACTGAAAACACATCACAGGCTAACACAGAGCTGACTTTCCCATTATAGTCAGAGACAACTTTTTCTGAGAAAGGGAGAAGGACCTCGTGAACTAAGCAACTGTGGCTACACTAAGTGTCAGTCTTATAAGGCAGGTGTAGAGAATACTAGAGAATGGATGTGCTCCTGTACCTGTTGGGATAGGTGTGGTCTCTTGCATTCCCTTTAGCCCAGCTCGAACCTGTGCCTAAAAACAAGTGTCACATAAGCACAGAATGTAAGTAAGGTTAGGCTAGTACTCTTGTGAAAACTTCATGTAAACTACTTCTGAAATTCCTGCTAAACTGTTCCATCACCTCACAGTCTTTTTGAACCTGAAGGTGCCAGTGCCAATCAAACGAACACTTGAAAACCATTATTCTTGTCCCTAGTGCCCAGCTCACAATAACCAATATTAAAAGTTACTTTTTGCTTTATCTGCAAATTTTACACGGTTTTTTGCACTTGTGCCCTCAAGTGTTCCAAATCACTGTTAGAAGGAACAATGTCGGGCTTCCCCTGATGGCGCAGCGGTTGAACGCTGGGCTGTGAAGCTGCCCTCAGCCTCTGTAGCGCCGGTTGGATCCCTGGCAGCCGGCGAGGGTCCCACATGGAGTGCAGACCTCTCCTGCCACGCCCACTGCTCCCCTCAGCAGTGTATCTTGTCAGTTGGCCTGTTCTGTTCCCTTCTCTGGCTCTGTTGAATTCTCTCACCCTCCCGCGCTTCTGACTGTACCCAGTGCTTGTATAAATAAATAAATCTTTTTAAAAAAAAAAAAAAAGAAAAGAAGGAATAATGTCTAGAGAGAAATGGTGTTATCATCTAATTGTAGTTCATGGTTTCATTTAATGTCCTATACACTCTGGTCCCTTAACAAATCAACTTGAATCTAGGAAAGACATAGGACATCACAGTTAGGAAAATCAAAAGGGATCTGAAACCTAGAGGATGGTCAAAACCTAGGTGACCACTTACGTATCTAAACTCATCCACACTCCTTATCAGTAATTCCTCCCTGGAGCCAGCTTCCCTTGGTCTTGTCTTAAGACTAAACACAATAAAAGGGCTCAGAGTTCAATATGTAGCGGCCCACTGAGTCAGCATCCTGGTCCTCCACCCGCTGGTTATGGTTATGGCTCTGCCCTCAAGCACTCCCCACCGATCACAGATACTCAGCATGGTGCTTCTTAGGAAACCAATGGCCAAAAAAAAAATATTTTTAAAAGAGGCCTAAAAGTCTCTTGATAAGGAGGAAGTAAATTATTTTTCTAAGACTATTACACCAACATAGTAAAATATTTTCTAAATTAGTATGTTACTGTAGAGGTAAGTCCTTGGTTAGCAGATACTAAATTAGCCCTATGTTGAGTGGATACTATGCTGAAATACTATTTTGCTGCCCTCCTAACTCCCATATTATCAATAGATGCAAAGTCATCTACAATGGCAGTCTTCTTATTTGGAGCCTAAGAGATCTCTAACCTTGCCCTGGTACCAAGCAGGGCAACATTTCTAAAAGGACACATTGTTACCTGCTTTGCAACTCCATTCCAGTTTATCTTCAAGATGAACACCAAGTAGAAAAGGGATTGAAAGAATACATAAAGCACCATTCCAGACCAGAGACCTAGAATGTCAAGTGAGTGTCACAGTTCAGCTTTCTTAAATTCTGTTCCCATCATTAAAATTCTTCCCTAAGTACTGTCTCCTCAGAGTAAACTTCAATTAAATTAACTTCTCTAAAATTGTAGTTCACTATATACCAGGGTATTAGACTCAAGCTTACCATTGAGCTTTCAAGGTAATCAATTGATAATGGACATGAAAACACCCCCAAAATGGCTTTTTATTTATGCATATAAGAGCTGGGGTACAGGCCAGATGTGGGGGAGGTGAGAGGATTCACCAGAGACAGATTGGGGAGCAGAACAGGCAGATTGACTGAAATACACTGCTGAGGGGAAAAGCAGGCGAGTCAGGAGAGGTCTGCTGCACCATGGGGGTTGCTCCCTGGCTGGTTGGGGATCGAACTTGTGCTGCAGAGGCTGCAGACAGCTTCATAGGTTGTGTCTTAACCCTTTGCGCCACCAGGGAGACACCCAAAATGGCTTATAAAGAGGAGAATGCAGAAGAAGAAAAGCCAAAGGTCATCCTCAGGCCCTTGGTGAAGACCTACATTCCAGAAGGATAGAGTGAAAAAATCCCAATGAATAAGAGAGGAATAAAAACTAAGAGCACGGAGTGTGAAGTCACAAAAGACAAGGCTCTTGTTTGTTTATTTTTATTTAAATGATATAAGGAGCATAAAGGGCTTAGTATGTTTCTGACAAATGGTCTTTATGAATATTACTTAACATCCTGTAAATTTTATTTTTAATTAAAAATAAAAGTACTAGGGCCTCCCCCGTGGCGCAGCGGTTGAGCGCTGGGTTGCGAAGCTGCCCGCAGCCTCTGCAGCGCAGGCCGGTTCGATCCCCGGCTGCTCCCCGGCCACCGGAGGAGGGCCCCACATGGCGCGCAGACCTCTCCTGCCGCCCGCTGCTCCCCTCAGCAGTGTACTTCGGTCCTTCTGCCTGCTCTGCTCCCCGCTCTGGCTCTGGTGAATTCTCTCACCCTCCCACGCTTCTGACTGTACCCAGTGTTTGTATGTATAAGTAAATAAATCAAAAAAATAAAATAAAATAAATTGAAAAATGTTTAAAAAATAAATAAAAGTACTAGAGGAGAATATAGAAAAAAATGTTAAAACTCTACTGTAGAAGATATCGCCAAACAATAAGGCAAGGAAAAGAAATGAAAGGCATAAAAATTGGAAAGGAAGGAGTAAAACTATTTCTGTTCACATATGACATGATCCTGCATATAGAAAATCCCCAAAGAATCCACAAAGAAACTATGAGGATTAATGAATTGATTCAGTAAACTCACAAGATCATCACACAGAAACCAGTTATGTTTTAATATACCAGCAATGGATAATCTGAAAAGGAAATCAGGAAAATAATTCTATGAATAGTATCAAAAAGAACTTGCACTATTCGGAAAACTTGAAAACATTGCTATAAGAAATGAAACACCTAAATGATGGAAAGAGATCTTGTACCCATGGAGGGAAGACTTAATATTGGGAAAATTGCAATATTCTCCCCAAAGTAATATACAGATTCAATGCAATCCTCTGCAAGCCCAAAGGCCTTTTGTGGAAATGGAAAAGCTGATCTTCGGATTCATGGGAAAATGCAAGGGGCCTCCAAATAGTCAAGACAAAATTTTAAAAGAATAGTTGGAGGGCTTTTGTTTCAGATTTGAGCTAATGAAAGTGTAACTACCTTACAGAGCTGATCTGGCAGCCAGAGGGTTCCCTCAAAACTATTATAACTGCTCATGGTAACCTTTATTTAACAGAATTTAACTGCAGTATTTAACCCAAATGGAATAACTATGTTAATTACTTAATCTTGGTCTCATCCTGAGGAAAGAGATCATGTATTTTTAAGACTGCATTTCCAAGTGTATATGTGTTTTGTTGTTTTTTTCACAAAAGAGTTATTAAATAGCTATTTGAGGAAAAAATAATTATATAGGATCACTTTCCAGTTATTGCTTTTTAGCTCAAGCCATTTATCTTAATTATGGCAAGTGAGGGTTCAGTTACTGAGAAATCAAGTACATACCTATTACCCCAAGATTAGCTGCAAACATCAGAGATACTCCAATGGGAAAACCAAATACATAATAGCCAATGGTATTCAAGATGGCACCCATCTTTTGTTTTCCTGTACCTCGCAGGACTCCACTACTGGTGCACTAAAGAAAACCAAAACCAACATGCAGTCATTTAGCTGCCATGATATCAAGGTTTAGGATACAAGTTTGGATATGGTCAAATAGTTCTATCTCAAAACAAGCATTGCACATTATACAAAAGATCAAAGAAAACATTATGCTTCTAAAGGTATGTTACCAACAACAAGCAATTGCAGCTTTCATCAGAAACCTACCAGGTAAGCATTGTTTAAATCTCAAAAAATATTTTGCAAAAATGTATGTTTAAAAAAATGTAGAGGTTTCAAGTGTGGAAATCTCAGCAGAAACTAGTCTAGCATCATGGCTGAAAAATAATGCAATCATGGATTGCGAAAACTTCCACTGCCAGAGTGGTGACCATCATCTTGCTCTCTTCCACTTTATTCTTACCACAGTCAGTATTCAAATATGGGAGCCATATCATCTGAGTGACACTGACAAAGTAGAAGTAATGCCTCAGGAAAAGAACAAGAGGGCAAATGCACCTAGAAATCTAATTGCTGAAACTGAGAATATGCCTCTAAGGATGATTCCAAGGTCTTCAAACACCTGTAAATTTACAGAAAATCGCCCTAGAGAAGAGCTTTCTTAGGGGTCATGACTAGCTCAGAGGTAGCACAGTGCACCACTTTTAAACTCAATGATGCTCCTTGCTTCCCTGGAGCTGTGTAGTGATAGGTCTAGGAAACAAATCTAAACCTCAATCGCTCTGAAGTTTTCTTAGGGGTCATGACTAGCTCAGAGGTAGCACAGCCTGCCTTGGACCACTCACCACTTGGCTAGGATAGCACACAGCATTCAAGTACCAGATAAATAGAGGAAGATGGATACCTCAGATCCTTCCACCTCAGGATGTTACACACTTAACCCATCATTCTCACAAGAGACTAAGCCTGCCTGAAGCAAGGGTTCTCTCTTTTCAAAAATAAAATCACAGACATTTAATTCAAAAGATAGAAACACAAAACAAATATTTCTATGTATATTAGACAGAACAAAACCACTCCAAATACTCATTGCAAGTGAATCAAACAGATGAAATGGAGCAAAAATTGGCATCACTTGGCTCACAAGGGAAATAATATCTCTGTTGGAAGAAAAGAAAGCAGTGAGTGAGCCAAACAGAACATTTAAGTGGACTACTAATTAACTAGTGATCTGACAAACTTGGCAAATGGAGCAGTTAATGCTGTCAAAACGCTACACTTCTATTTAACAAAATGAAACCTCACCCTTTTAAATTGAATTAGTTAGAATTTACATTAGGGAGATGTGCTAGGCTGCTACTATACAGGTTAATCCTTTTCATTTTTTACCACTCAGATACATATTTAATAATGTACAAATCCAAAGAATCTCTGCATCCAATCCTGAGCTCACGAAAGAACTGCCTTCAGTGGGTCAACTTGACAAGGTAGATGGTTCCAGCCTCCCTCTCACCCACGGAAGCTGTCTTAGTCAGCTAGAAACAGGTGTGATCATCATGGTGTCTTCTATTGTCTCTTAATCTCACCTTATGTATTATGTGTTTAGTCTCAATAGCATTGAAAATAATGACTCTGGAGTTGTTGGTTTTTTTTAATGTATTTATTTATAAAGAACTGGGGTACAGGCTAGAGTTGTGGGGGAGAGGGGGGAGAGGATTCACCAGAGACAAAGTGGGGAACAGAACAGGCAGAATGACTGAAATACACTGCTGAGGGGAGCAGCGGGTGAGAGAGAAGAGGTCTGCTGCACCATGTGGGTATCTCCCTGGCCGGGGATCGAACTTGTGCTGCAGTGGTTGCAGACAGCTTCATAGGTGTCATCTTAACCCCTTGCGCCACCAGGGAGGCCCTGACTCTGGAGTTTAGAGGAAGACTAGGGATGTGTGGTAACTGAGTGAGGTATGGGCATATTCAACACAGTTATTCTTGAGAGAAAGGATCAAGAAAGCCGTAAGTGGCAGTCCAATCCAAGTGGACCACTAGGGTTGAAATACTTGACCTAACCTGTCTCTGAATAGGTTGCTGCTCTCCTGGGAAAGAGACAAAGAGCTTACAGTCAGTTTTCAGTAAATGAGGACAATGACACATCCATTCCTGATCCTTTCATCCAGCTGTTGGAAAATGATGAGTCAAAGGAGGCCACAAAGCAGGAAAATGATGAACCTGCAAACCTGAGGACAGAGAGTCCTGCCCTTATCTGTGCTAGGTATGACAATTAGTGCACCACTTTTAAACTCCATGATGCTCCTTGCTTCCTTGGAGCTGGGTAGTTATAGGTCTAGGAAACAAGTCTAAACCTCAATCTCTATGAAGCATGAGTTTTCAGGTTACCTTTGACGTATGTAGTCACATCAAAGATGTCACAGACATTGTGGCTTTGACAGGCCTGCCTCCTCCTTTACTGGCACTCAGGGAGTTAATGCTTTAAAACACAGGCAAGGAGCCTGGACCAAGTCCACTTAATGGAAATCACATGAGATAGTGCTGCACTCCCCAAGAGCTGCCAAAGACCCTTGTGGTTATGAGAATTTTACTTGTGGATCATTAAGCATGATGTGAATTTTGTTCTCCCTGGACATTAAAAAGGAGGCCAAATGAAGTAAAGGAGAGAAAGGATACCAATATAAGAGTCCAGTACTATCAAACTAGCTGAGAGACTACACACAAGTCCCTATGCTTCTCCAGTGCTTCAGGTTGAAAGTCTACAAAGTGCCAAGCAGAAATAATTTTCATTATTTCTTCAAGTATTTTTTCCTGTTTCCAATTCTCTCTATGCTTTGATAACTCTAATTATAGTTAAGTCCTCATCATCATTGATAGGTCCCTTAACTTAAAGTGAAAAGACATGTAATAAAACCAATTTTACCTTAGTTTAATTGATATAAACAAGAGCTAAGTTATTGTGGTCACAAAAACATTATAAAGCTTCTAAATTAAGATCCAATGCATTTCTACCATTAAACAATAATTTGTATTCATTCATTAACTCATTTTCCAACCAGTTTATTCCACTTCAGGGTAACAGGTAGCCAGAGCTTATCCTGGCAGCTCAGAGTATAATGCGGGAAATTTGGAGAGAAAACCCTTCCATTACAGGGCATACTCACACCCATATCCACACTCACTCATACAAGGACAACTGAATGCTAGTAAAACTCATGAGCACATCTTTGGGATGTGGAAGTAAAATGGAGCACCTGCAGAAAATCCATGCAAACTCTACACAAATTGGCCCCTGCTGGGAATCAATTTTTTTCTCACCAATTTTATAATGAAACAATATTGAACCAAATGATGTTATTCAAGGACCTGCTGTACATGCTTCTTATGCCAATTATGGCTTGGCTGATATGCCATTCATATTGTCCCAGTCTTTTTTCTCTCTGCATTTCATTTAGGACATGTACTATTGCTCTATCTTCAAGTTTACAAATTTTCTTCTACAGTATTTAATCTGCTGTTAATATCATCTAATATATTCTCATCTCAGGCATTTTTTTTCAGCCCAAGAAGTTCAGTTTTAATTCTTTGATGTCTCACCTTATTGAAACCATATGAACATAGTTAAACCAATTTCAACATTCCTATGTACAAATTCTTCGTGCTTCATTTTTAGGTCAGTTTCAGTCAATTGATGTTTCTCATTATTTTGGTTTCTTGCTTCTTTGTACATCTGCTAATTTTAACTGGATGCAGACACTGTGAATTTTACAATGTTGTTGGCATTTGTTGCAACAATTTGCAATTGTTAGATATTGCATATTACTGTATTATTCTAAATATTCCTATGCTGAGATGCAGTTAAGCTCAGTGATGCAGTTAAGTTTCCAGGAAATAGTTTGAGGTTTATTTTTAAACTCTGTTGAGTGGGACCAGAGCAGCATTTATTCTAAGGCTAATTTTCCTTCTCTATTGAGGCAAAATCCTTCTGAGAACTCCATCAATTGTCCCATTCATTACAAGTTTTGTTTATTCTGGCTGGTAGGAACACAAACTCTTCTTAGCCCTCCTGAGCTCCAGGAATGTTCTGCCTATTCTTTTCAATCAAGTGTTGAACATCCCACATGGCCTCCCTGAGCTCCCAACGTCACTTCCTCACTCCAAAGAGAGAGGTGATTTGCCAGGGTCCTCTTCTGGGCGTGGTCTAGATACCCCGTCCCAGTAACCTGAGGCCACCACAGTGCTCTCTTCATTTATTTCACTCTTTAGGGATTATTATTCTTGCTGTCTGTTCCTAGTTTTTGAAAATTATTTATACACACACACTTAGATATTTTGTCCAGTTTTGTAAGTTGCTTAAGGCAGGTGGGTAAATCCAATACGTAATACTCCATAATCCTAAAATTTTACAGTATGTTTAAGCATTAGTCTAAAACCAATGAGGTCAGGAAAAACTAGGAGAGCACACTTGAAAGGAATAAAACTGAACTTCATAAGAAAATTTGAGGCAACAGGTGCAAATTATTGAAGCTTTTTTATAAAGAGAATTTAGTTTATTCAAAGGATACTTTATTGCACCTAAATAATTATGCAAACACATAATTACCAAAATGCAATAAAATTCAACCTAAGGTTAGGTCAGTGATTTATGCAAACACTGTCTGTTCAATTCAGGTGTGCATGCTCTTAGCATGTTCTGGACTGGAAGGTGCCTTTCTGAGAATGAGGATCTTCATGTTCCATTTTTGTGTAGAACCAGTATTATAAACAAGAAAAACCTCACTCTGTTTGATAAATTAATCAACCCAGTATTGGAGAAGTGGGATCATTTTCATGGCTTCATTCAAATTTAGTACTGTGGTTCTCACTCCTGGCTGCCTACAGATTTCCAGTGAATCAAAATGCTACTTACCTTTCAGAATCAGAAAAGTATAGTGAATAAAGAAAGCATAAGATATAAAACACTTTTTTGGAAGATGGTACATACTTGTCACTTGTAAATGCATAAGCAACCACATCCTTCAAAGCTGCAAGCGAAACACCAACTGTAAGTCCACAAACACCTGGAAAACACAGAATTAACAAGGAATGAGAATTCCCCATGTGATAAATCCTGGTACTAACTTCTCATTAAGTTGTCTGTGTTGATAACTTAAGAAATGCAATGATTTAAATACTGTTTCTTATGAAAAGAGCAACTAAGGTCAAATGATTCTGACTCCCTTTTCTTAAGCCTGTAAGTCTTTAAGGGAGGCTTCTAGAAAAGATGCTCATTAAGATGTCAGCACAATGAGAACACTGAAACTGCCAGAGGCAGGACTGGTTCAGGAACATGGAGGGCTAGTCACACTGATTTTGGTCAGAAAATAAGCCTGCATATGAAAACAGTTGCCTTTAAAATGATGTCAAGTGTAAAATTATTTCATTGATAGCCAGTAATAGAAAATCACAATTAAAGCTTTATTTAACTGAGTAAATTGGGAACATGAAGTATTTCTGTGTACCTGACTTACATATACATGTAAGTCAATTCCTAGAGAAGTCCTGATAGGTGTATTTTAACTTATCAGATGAAACTCCACGTGGACACTGGAGAGAGCTGCCATACTCACTGGCACACAGGAGGACAGTGATGCAGGAGTGCCATGCCTGCTGGGCATTCCCTGCCCCCAGAGCGTTGCCCACTCGGACACTGGCTGCCACACCAAGGCCAAGAGGCACCTGAGAGTGAGTGATCACAAGACAAAAAAGAAGTAAGAGGGCCTGAACATTAGAATGTTAGCGCACTTCAAGGAAAACCACAGGGAGAGTCAGAAACCCAGGTTCTAGAACTAGTCTATTACACCCCAGCTGTGTGACCATAAGCATATTTCAGTTTTGCTGACACTCAATTTCTTGATTGTTAAAGATGTATAATGGCTGCCTGCTGCCTCCTGTATCCAATGTATCAGAACAGAACCTCTTAATAACGCTGGATTTGAGGGCAATAAAGGTATCGCCTTTATTGTCCAAACGCATACTCTCAAGACTTAACCCAGCCATATTCTAAAAGCATTAAAGATATAAATATATAGTTTGTAAAAATTAAATGAATGAGAAAAAACACTTAGAACAAAGTCTGGCACAAAGAAGGAACTCAAAAAATGCTGATGAAATCTGACTCCATCACTACATATTATGTGCCCACGGTTTCACATGTGTAATCACCCAGTACATTGAAATATCTTCCAATGCCAAAACTTTATTTTAATGGTAGATTATGGAAATCTGAAGCAATAAACATCCCTGCTTACTATTGATCTCCAGGGTCCTTTTGACCCCTTATTATTCTGTAATGCAGTGCTGCCCTCAAGTGCTGTTTGAGTAACATGGATTATATAGAAAACTGACGTTACCTATCACGTCTGCTTTTAACAATTTATGCACCAGCTTTACCTTCTCATTCCTACTAGAAAAGAAGCATCTTCCCAAGAGCCCTCTAACTTTTCACTGTTTTGAGAACTAGCCTGAGTATATATAAATATAAATGTATATTAAATTGTTAAGATTAAAAACTTGAAACAACAGTGTACTTGGCTATCTGAAAATTTATGAAGCCTGTGTGCCCAAAGTATACAGAACTAACATCTAGTTCGAGACGAATTAGTGGCTTCCATGTTCAACTCCCTTGCCCCCTAAAATACTATTAATAAAGAGACTTAACCAAAAAAGAAATTCATTAACACTGAGAATGAGAGAGCAGATGTAGCAATACTTCTGGAAAGAGGGAAAGTAGGTGCCGTGATTCTGGGGTAGAACCCAGGGCATAAACAGGAGAAGGCCAGATGCTGTGAGTCCCTCCCGCCGCAGCCCCAGGAGGCATTCAGCTTCAAGTGGAGCATGGGGGAGCAGTGAGCATGAGTCTGGGAGAGTCACTGGAAGACAGTAAATAGCACAGTTGGACCCCCCGCCCCTCCATATCACCCCAAGACTCACTGAACACAGAAAGACTGGGTCAAAATGGAAGAGCCAAGTGGAGAGCTCCTCGGGTGGGTGAGTACTCCCACAACAAGCCCTTTTTGGTTTGTTTTGGGGGATGAATAGAACACGAAAGGCAGAGGAGGGTGGTGGGTGAGGCGGTCACATGGTCTGTTTTATGTCCTTGCCCCAAAACTCGGAAATAAAGATGCTACTTGACAGAAATCACCTTTGTTTTCGGCTCCCTACTGAACCTTCTCATTCAGGGGAAAGGTCTGTGGAGGAAAATCCCAAAACACAGGACAGGAAAACCATGTGAGCCATTTCTTTCGTAAATCAGAGTATTCATTCACACATACAAAAGGACTAATAAGGATCACCAGATTTTTGAGGAAAACCGAGAGCATCACCTCACAAAAAAGTAAGATAAAAGACCAACTGACCTAAGAGGAAACAAAGAGAGGATTCAAGGAATAGAAAAGAATGTTTGAAGAGTCAACTGAGGACCCTCAGAACCATTTCAAAGACAATGCAGTGTAAAACAAGAACAGTTTTCCATGAAGAAGGGGCTATAGGAGAAAAAAAAAAGTTCTCAGAAGTTAAAAATGAAATTGAAAAAAGTGTACTCACCAAGACAAGAAAGTTTTTTTTAATGTTAAAAAAAAAAAGATTAAAAGCAAGAAAATGAATCAAGGTGATCAACCTCTACCTAATAGGAAATTAAAAGAGCACAGAAAAAAATGTACAGAAAAGGGAGAAGAGATAATATTTTTCAAAATTTTTAGAGTTGAGAAAAACAAGTCTTCACACAGAAAGGGTCTATCAACTGCTAATAGCAGTTCATGTAAAATAGTGCCCGTGGAGAGATCTGCCCCGTGAAATCTCAGAACTAGATGGACAAAGAAAAAAGTGCTAAAACTTTAAAAGGAAAATCATGTTGCTAGAAGGGAAAAAGAGCCAGGTTAAAATCAGACTTAAATTGCTTGCTCTAAATGCCAGACGAACATAAAGCAATGCCTTAACAATTCTGAGGCAAAATGGCTTTGAACCTGAATGTCTAGGTGCAGCTAAGTTATTAAATGTATATAGGAACATAAAGGCTCTTTCAAATATGCATGGCTCATGGTTTACCTCCCAGATAATGAGGAAACAGTTCTCTGACAGACTACTTCAAAGTTTTTTTAAAGGAGTCTAAGAATGTAGAAGAAATGGACTAAAGAAAATGCAGCTTAATTCCTAAGAGCCACAGGGTTATGTCACTTCCTTTCAGGTTGGCATTTGACCAAAGGGTAACCACATTCAACATGCGCATGGAAAAGTGCTATTTGTGTTCGGGGCCTATATTGTTTGTCTACAGTGACTGCAAGCTGTTCAGATTCTTTCTATCAATCTAAGTGTCACCAAAGCTTTTAAAAAGAAGTGCAACTCTAACAAAGTCAGGTGGATGAAAGCATTCTGGAAAGAATGGTAAAGCCCTTACAGTAGATAATGCATTTGCTTTTGAACAACATAGACATGAACCTGCCAAATACCAGCAAGAGTTATGCAATAAAACTATTGATGCAATAAAGAGATCAAACAGAAACACCAAGCTAAATTTATAATGAACGGGTTGGAGAAAAAGAAAGAACTACAGAAACTTTGGAACATCAAAGGAGTCAAATAAAATATCCATCTTGTCTGGGCCCTTCTTGCCGTCAAAGGAAAGCAGCTAGAAGAAAAAATGGTCTGGAAATTACAATAGGATGTGAACGTGGAAGATGTTTCTGCAAACTTCACTGCAACACTTTTTATAAGCGCATTTGAAAACCTCCTTTGGAGACTCAGAATTTCTAAATTATTGATTTTTTTTAACATAAGGTCACTCAAATAAAAGGTGATGAAAAATACATATGCATTGCTATCTGAAAAACATCAGATATTATGGATGCCAGATTGCATCTCATTGGTACACCTTTTCTGATAAATACACTTTTGCAAATTCTGAAAATTCTGTGGAAATGACAGCCCATTTCAGCAGTCTCTGTTCCCTTGCCTACCTTCAAAGATAATGAATCAGATCCAGCTCTCACCCAGTCACGCCACAAGGTCTCTCATCATCCAAATCCAAAGGACACTTTCCAGCCATGTCGTAGCTCTCTCTCAGCAGCCCGCCACTGTCCCTCATTCCCCCCTGCCAGTCCTTCTTCACAGCTGCATCCCCCATGTCTTGTCTTTCTCCATCCCATAGTGGCTGGTCCTGTCTCTTGGCTAGGCTTTCCTTCTTTTCCTGACTCTATTCTGGGGGATTTGCTAGGCACTAAACACTCTTCCTTTTTATTCCTAGGTGACCAGGTCAATTCCACTAAAAAAGTTGTTTTTTTTTTAATTTTAAGATTAAAAACAGATACATGGAAACAAAAGCCCATATTCCCACCACCCAGCTGACGTCTGTTGATATTTTTAAAAATAAGAAACAAACAAAACAAAGGGAATATTGATAGGGGTTGGAATATTCAAAAGGTATCAAAAGGTAAAAGGCATTACTCCCACAAGCCAGAAGCTCTGGAGTCATTTGTGATTCTTACCACTCACTGCCTTGCTGTCCATATCCAAACCCTGCTCACAGCTTGACAGCTCTACTTCTGCATATTACAGATTCATCTGCTTTTCTCCTCCTCCACCAACAGCTTCCTTCCAGCCCTCCCCACTCCCACACCTGCTCTCCTCTAAGCTAGTTTCCACAGGGCAGCCAGCCACACACCCCACTCTTTTCCTCATACCCCCTCTACCAGGTCCCTGTTTCACAGCCAAGTGCTCTTTTCCCTCCTGGGGCCTTTGCTCAGGCTACTTTCGGGCTGGGCACACCTCACCTTCCAAGTCTCAGCTTATTTAGCAAGTCAAAGCATTCCTGACTGCCCATATAAACAGGCATCTGTGTGATGCATCTCAGACTTATTTTGAGTTCTTTCACAGTACACTTGAGCATGCACGCACATATATGTAATGCTCTTATCAACATTTTACTGGTTGGTCTCCCCACCAGACAAGCTACAATAAGACAAGGACTAGCTCTATCATTCTCTTCATGGTAGTCTAGTGCCAACTCCATTTTTGTTGAATTAACATGCCAGGCATTGTACTAAGTGTTTGATAGGTTTTTTATTATTAAATCTTCAACTGCAAATTGGATTTTTTTTTCCTATTTTGTGTATAAGGAACTGAAGTTCAGAAAGGTTAGGTAACGAGCCCATGGTCACACAGTTGGGGAGCAGCAAGGCCAGGACTCAAATCTAGTGTAACCGGCTGTGAAATCCAGCCCCCTTCCCTTTATGGCTCTGTGCGTTCCCCCTCGCCCTTTGCCTCCCTTCTCCCTGTGCACAGAATGATGGGCATCAACAAGGTGGCTGAGTGGATGCAATGACAGGCGCCCAGTGGAGTTCATGCAGGATGGTCCTGAGTCTCAGCCGGAGGCTCTTACCATGTAGGCAGCAGAGGAGAATGCATAGATGACAGCCTGGGCTCCAAGCTCTGTCACATTAACCAGTCCTGAAATGTTGGCACACACAAAAAACACATTTCAAAGGTGGGTTAGAGCAAACATAAGAACCTATCTTAATTTTTTTTTTTAATAGAGGCATGTTTTATTTATTTATTTGTTTGTTTGTTTTGTTTATACATGCACTGGGTACAGTCAGAAGCGCGGGAGGGTGAGAGAATTCACCAGAGCCAGAGCAGGGAGCAGAGCAGGCAGAAGGACCGAAGCACACTGCTGAGGGGAGCAGAGGGCGGCAGGAGAGGTCTGCGCGCCATGTGGGACCCTCCTCAGGTGGCCGGGGAGCAGCCGGGGATCGAACCGGCGCCGCAGAGGTCGCCGGCAGCTTCGCAACCCAGCGCTCAACCACTGCGCCACCGGGGAGGCCCAGAACCTATCTTAATTTAAGGTCAGTCAAGATTGCTGCAGCTGCATAACCTGGTGCAGGAATTCATCATCTTTGCTGAGGAGACTCCCAGATGTCCATTTCAAGGAAGCTGCTAAGATGTTATGCAGTTTCATACTGCACAATCCTAGCTTCCCAACTTCTCCCCCCACTCCCCTACCCCCAGGGGGGAAAAAGCAGGTTTAAAGTAGAAAACGGTGAGGCTGCTCGAGTTGCAGGCCATTCCTCAGGGAGACACACCTCAGGGTGTGGAAGGGGAAGGACAGATGGCAGTGGAACCCAATACAGAGCTTCCGGGACCAGTGGCACATTCAAGTGCCCATAGAAACCTTAACATCAAATATCATTATTTCATCTCTGTTGCCTTACTAGCAATAAGATGGCAAAGGTGAATACCTATGACCCACATTATTGTAATTTTGATAGAAACATAAATTATGCCTACAATGGAGTCAGATCAGTCACTCTATGTTTGTGAATGTCTTGAAAACTTGGCATCATGCCTGGCAAAAACTGGCTGAAGCAGAAGATGTGAAGGAGTCATAAGACCTGGATTTGGGCTTTTGTTCTCCCACTCCATGACCTTGGCAAACCTAACAGTGGCCTTCCTTTGTGAGTTTACAAAATGGAAGGCAATGAGAAAGAGCAGAAGCCCCGCCAACCTGAATGTGCTTATAGTTGGATGAGAATTTAAATCTATATTGAAACCTTCTATGAGAGCCTGATAAAATGGAGGCAGGAGAAGGAAAACGTAGGTTTCTTGCCAAGCTCTGGAGACACGGCCAGTCATGTTTCTACTGAACTGTTGACCAACCTGCAAGTAAGGTTCCGATCTCGAAGGTCCACCACTCAATGCACAGCATGAACATACTGGGAACAGCCAGCTGGATGAAGGAGCCCCACTCCTGCAAACAGTCCCTGCTCCAACCTGGAGAACAGGGAAACAAACATTTACCTTTCAACTTTCTTTGATACCAGCAATTCTATTTCAGATGCCCTCCTCTACCAAATGGCCAGAAACTGGGAGTAAACACTATTCTAGAAAACAAATAAAGATGCCAAACATGACCAGTTTGAGAATGGATCTTGCAATACTTAGTGAAACCAAATATATGCCCTATCACCCACACATTTCACTGCCGTTATAAATGACAGGGAAACTTTTGTAGGGGCCATAAGAAAAAGGAAACCATCACCAGGGAACTAGAGAAGTAAAGTATCATAGACAATCAGTACCGGGCCATAAGAAAAAGGAAACCATCACCGGGGAACTAGAGAAGTAAAGTATCATAGACAATCAGTACCGGGCCTCCCCTGGAGGTGCAGCGGTTGAGTGCTGGGTTGCGAGGCTGCCCGTAGCCTCTGTAGCGCCAGTTTGATCCCCGGCCGCCGGCAAGGGTCCCATTAAAAAAAAAAAAAAAAAAAACACAAGACAATCAGTACCATTTCTGCCCTGGCAAGACGCAGCCCTCCTGCCCACCTAGGACTATGGAGGTGCCTCCTTTTTCTCCTTTTCCTAATAAACCTGTCCTTTCAAAATGCAATATACAAAATATATATTTTTATATACTTTTACATAGATGAACATTGTAATTAAAAGCAGAACACTGGACAGACATATGGCAATAGCAGTAAATCCAAAAATACATTGTGCTCATGGGCAAGAAAAATTAAAGTAGATACTTTGCATAAAATTTAAAAATTATGGCCTCCCTGGTGGCGCAAGGGGTTAAGCACCGCACTATAAAGCAATCCGCAGTCTCTGTGGCATGAGTTTGATCCCCAGCCAGTCAGAGAGAAACCCACATGGCAAAGCAGACCTCTCCTGTTTCACCAGCTGTTCCCTCAGCAGTGTGTTTCAGTCGGTCTGCCTGTTCTGTTCCCCACTCTCTTTGGTGAATCCTCTCACCCCCCCACATCTCTGGCCCATGCCCCAGCTCTTGTATGTATAAATAAATAAATCTTAAATTTTCTAGATTCCTGCTATGAGTGAGACCATCCGGTATTTTTCTTTTTCTTTCTGGCTTATTTCACTGAGCATGATCCCTTCCAGCGCCATCCATGTTGCTGCAAATTGCATGTGTTTATCTTTTTTAAATAAGGGACCAGGACACTTTTTGTGGGATGGGGGCAGGGAGGGGAGGGATTGGGGTCAGAATGGAGGGGTTGAAATTGTATGGGGAATATAAAAATAAAAGTTATTATTTAAAAAAATAAATAAATAAAAACAAATGAACCAAACATGGCTAGTAACTAATGAAATAAAAAATAAAATAAAATAAAATAATCTTGATCAAAAATAAATAAATAAATAAGAGACCAGGAAAATGAATAACTATAAGAAAGTGAAAATCAAAATCAACAAAAAAATATGAACCAGAGACACTCTATCGGGGGTAGGGGGCAGGAGGGGAAGGAGGGATTGGGGTCAAAATAAGGGGGTTGCAATTGTATGGGGAATATAAAAATAAAATTTATTATTAAAAAAAGAAAAAAAGAAAAAGAAAAAGAAAAAAAAACATTGACTTCATAAAAAAAAAAAGACAACAAGCAGGAGGGAGAAGAAATAAATAAATAAATAAATAAATAAATAAATAAATCTTTAAAAAAAAAATCCCATATTGACTTTTATATTTTCAGTAACTAAAGTATTTTCTATAATTTTAAATTTCCCAAGAGATAAAAATAAAAAACTCTGGGTAAATACCTATGAATGGAAAAATAATGTAAAAAATATATAAAATAAAAAAATAAAAATCTCTCTGGGGAAAAAAAAATCCCCAAACCAGAATTACATCTTTCTGAATAACAAAACATGATATTGATGTCCTCGTACCTCCTCAGGTGTTGATGTACATTTTTTTCCACCAAATATACAGGAAAAGCAGCACACACAAGAAGTACTAGGAAGTCATATTTGCCCAAGCAGATCCTCTGAAGGAGAAAAAGTCATTACCTGTGAGTGTGTTCCTTGCAAATACCATTAAACAGACAACCTCTGACAAGTTTTTGCTCCTGTGTAAGAACTGTAGTTATTAGATGGGCCTGGAACTCTTAGATTGTCTTCTTTTACTGTTTTAATTACCTGATATATTTGGAATAGACTTGTTTTCTTTCCACTGAGGTTGACTTTTGAAATGTTACTTACTGTTCATCAATGGAAAAACAAACATAAAGATTATTGCTATTCCTTGTCCTAACAGCCTTGAATAAGCCCTCAAGTAAATTTTTAAACAGGATTTGAAAAATGGGTCTATCAGTTACTGTGTTCAAAATATTGGTCTAGGTCACAGTAGTTTTATTTCCCAGGATGATAATAAATTTGTTTTCTGTTAGAAAATAACCTCAAAGCATCTTTGAGGTTAGATGACATTTACCATACAAACGACATGATGCCCCATTCTGTCACAGGGCCAGGAACCCCTCTGTTATTTTCTCATTTCACTCCTTTTGACCAGCCCTGTATTTTTTCCTCCTCTTGCCCACCTATCTCTAAACTGTCCTTTGTGCATCTGTTCAGGAAACTTCAGAGAGATAGTCTGTGAGGTGGCCCTGCCCAGGAAAGCCCGGTGCCCACTGAGGTATTCGTGGGTCCTTGTCACCAGCTCTCAAACTTGCTGCTGACTCTCATTTCACCCTTGACCAAAGCCTCTTTCAGTTTTCTGGCATAAGAAACAGATTATGAATGTTTTAATTAAATACTCTTATGTTCCAACCCTCCAGCAACTTTTATTTAATGGTTTTTGGATATATTTTATTGCAAACAACAGTAAGAAATAAATTTCCATCACTATCCAGTACCCAAGTTACTACTATGTACACTACACACACACCCTCCACAGAACAAGTCTCAGAGTTACTCCCATAGCATCTTACATGTTTAATTCTATTCCATTTCATTCATCATATATTTCAACTTTTTAAAGTACTGGTCATGACTCACTAAACCAGTTTTCGTTTATAAAGAAACACATGCTCCTGAAGCACCTAAGCACTGGGCCCGGTCTATGGGGCTGGCAGGATCTGTCTACCAAATGGAAGGAGGCTAGCTCTGGGTCAGCGCACTGAGGGATGGCCCAACAGTATGGCACCAACTGAGAGACATCCAAACTGACAGTGCTTCCTGTGTGTGAGCCTCGTCTTGTCAAGTTTCATAAATATGGACTCTGGCTCCATTCATACAATTCAGACAATGGGAGAATCCCCACAGGCAACTGCCATCTTATAGACTGCAGCAACGCCTTTCTCGCGGCTAGCTCCACTCAACATGGCTTCCTCCAAGACACTCTCTCAGTATCCCCAGTCTAACCCCTGCGACGACTCCTTCCAACAGCCCTGGCTGGTATGTTCTCCAATTGTCCAAGTCACCAGCTCTTACCCTGTCATTTGGAGCACACCTCCTGGTATTCCCTATGAGACTGCTTCACTCCCCAGCATGGGGCCAGCAGCAGGCACGGGACCTGCTGAATGAATGGGCTGCTACTTACACCACTCCGAGGTCCAGCACATACAGCAGGAGGACATTCATGCCCACGTTGATGACATTTGCTGCGATTCCTGTAATAACTTGAGGCAGGATGATACCCTAAAACCCCCAAGCAAATAAGAAAACATTTGCATTCTCAAGAGCTAATCAGGTAGGTGGTGTGAAATTACAGAAGATAAATCTGTGTGTGTATATATATTTATCTACACACTATTATCCATAGGTCTCTGCCCCCAGTTCCTGGCATACAGCTCCTAAACCCCTTGTAATTTCTGAAGTGATAAGAGCACCAGGGGCATCTTATGTTGTAAAATTTGATTTTTTTAATCTTATCCCTGACACAGAGCTCTTAAATCCCTTGGAATTTTTTGGATGATAACAGTGTGTTTTGTCCTAAAAAGGCTACTCTGGGTGGCTCCTAGATGAGGCTGGGTACCGGCAAGACCAAAGGATGCTTAGAAGCTGGGGGCTTTCAGCCCCAGCCCCCATTGTGGAGAGGAGTGGGGCTGAAAATGGAGTTAATGACCCATAATGCTTATGTAAGGAAGCCTCCAGATATATCCCAAAAGCACAGGACTGGAGAGCTTCCAGGTTGATGAACATGGAGGTGCTGGGAGAATACTCCCCAGAAAGGGCGTGGAAGCCCTTCCCACATACCTACCCTATGTGTCTCATCCATCTGGATATCCATCTGTATCCTTTATCCTATCCTAATAAGCTAGTAATAAATATTCATCATAACTTAGTAAATAGTAAACAGTTTTCCTGAGTTCTGTGAGCTATTCTAAAAAATTATTGATCCTGAGGAGGGAGTGGGTGGGAACTTCTGATTTATAGATGATCAGTCAGAAGCACAAGTGACAACCTAGACTTGCAATTGGCAAATATGAAACAGGGTGTAGGGTTAGTCTTATAGGACTGAGCCCTTAACTGGAGGGATCTGAGACCATCTCTAGGCAATTCCAGAAGTGAGTTAAATTTAGGACACCCAGTTATTATCAATGAATTGCTTGGTGTGAGAGAAACCTCCTTCTCCCCTTACCCCCGCGCAGTATTAGAAGTGTTACAAGTGACAGTAAAGTAAAACACCCAGTTGTTCCTAAACAGGTGGTCAACTGAAGAGTAGAGTTAAGTAAACAACAATTTAAATAACAAGTTTCACAAGACTGCAACAGCCAGGAATTGAAATATTAGCTATGTCTCCTCCATTGGTGTAAAGAAAAGATCATTTGGGAGCCACTTGGGCCAAGTTATTTAACTTCTCCATAAGGCCGTGGTGAGGGTTCACTACAGTTATCTTATATAAAACACTCGGCATGGTGTTGGCATGAGATTCATTTGCAGGGTATGGACTAATATACCTAAAACATATATAATGTCATAACTCAATAAACATAATTATCTCAGTAAACATAATTAAACACATACACATGCATGCACACAAACACGCACAACACACAAAACACCCAGTGAATCTGCTTCCTAGCAAGTGTACAATAAATGTTCACCTTTTTATTTTATGGGCCACTCCTTTTGCATCTATTGCTTACTCTACACTAGTACACTGATAAACATTCCTTTGCTAAGCAAGACTTCTACATTTCCCCCTGCATTTAAGCAGAATTGTCTACTACCGAAATAGAATGGCTGCCATGGACAAAGGCAAGGCGAAGGTAAGCAGGCTGCTCAGTTACATGGTAGAGAAAGACAGTGTGGCAGACCTCAGCTCGCACCACTGCCCACACATATGCCCTTAGCCCTCTTGGGAACGTGGCCATAGGAACTCTGAATCCTCTTCCACTAAAATAGAGGCACCCAGTCAGGACAGAGACCAGAAGCCAACAGAAGAGGTGAGGGCTGGGGTGTGGGGGCTTCAGAGAGAAATAGAGGTGGCCCAGAGGAACCCGACAGATTGAAACTGGCATCTCCCCTGTGCTAGACAGAATTCATCTATAAGATTCTGTGTCTTCCAAAGAGCTCTTGGGTAATGTTGCAAGGGAAAAGAAATTGTGAATTACTTTTACAGAAAATTCCCTAAGAAAAGTGTAAATTTTTAGGATTATGAAGAATTACTATTATTAAAAATTATTATTAAAAAGAATCTGTACCTGATTTTGTAAATATCTTGTCTGGAGCTGGAACAGCAATGCTGCCTATAAGATAAAGCAGAAAAACAAACACCTGTCATTTAATATAAAGGTATAATTTCCAAAAGTTTGCTTCAGTCTGATTTGTAATATTCCTCTTGATACGTGACTTCAAATTCAGAGAGCCACAACCACACAAAACAAAGACTAGGGTGCTATGTAAATGGAGGTTTTCAAAGTGGACTCTGGGAAGATTGAACAAGGGCAATCAAACAGGCTGAGGGAGACGCTGCCCACTGCCTTGACACCTGGGTGGCTCCGAGGGTGCCTGCTAGCCGGACTTCTCAACATACCAGAGGAGCCCAGGAATGTTCTGATTAGTGAGCAGGCAAAGGTAACCAAAGAATAAGGAGGGAAATGCTTCCCCTTTTCTGTGTTTGTATTTACCTTAAACTAGTGGACCTCAAAGCTCAGGGAGGGGTAACATGAAAAACATGTCGAATTTCTGCATGCATAACAATGTTGTGTACAATAAAATAAGTCGGGGGTGGGGGATACATGCACTTGACAATATTCGTAAGCTGCTTCATGTACCCAAGAATATCCTTGAACTTACCGGAAGAGCAGGAATAAAAATCATCACATAAATTTGGGCTATCCTGAAATAAACAAGACAGCATTCAGTTAAGATGAAAAGAACTGGGTCAGACTATCTTCTATCAAATTCATAAGGCATTTTCAAAAAAATTAAAACTAAGGATAATTTATATAGGAGAAATTAACCACAGTTTTAAGTGTTGGTTTTTCTACAACTCAAACCAACATTCCATTAAGCCTGCTAAATGTCGGCTTTCCAAGCAGAAACCTGACAACTTCAAATTTTCAGCTCGTTCTTAGCACAAAAGGTAGAATGAACACAGCAAAATGAACTAGATGTTGGGCAGAATTCAGAAACCTTTTGAGCCAGCACTCTAGCTGTTCTTTATAGTAAAGCAAGCCCAACAGTCTTCTAGAAAGGAGAGGAGCCTCCTTACACTCCATATACCCGAATGACAATACCAGATGGCATGCTGGGATTGCAGGTTTAGAAAATCCAACTCTGAAAACAAAAGTGAAGGCAGCTGTGTTGCTGTTCTACTTTTCTCAGGGGAAAAATATTCTCTGCATTTGCAAAATACCCAAGCAGAGGAACTCCGTGATAGGCAGACGGGGTCAGGGCTATTATGTTCTCATGCTATGTCTGTTCCCTCTGGAAGGGTGTTCTGTCACTACATCAGATAGTCCTGTGCCAGCCCCAGGACTCTCTGTCCACAGTCACAGCTTCTAGTTTCCATAATAAGGCTCGAGTCCAGGTAAATGACTGAAACTGTCAACATAGGTAAGATGACCAGACAGCCACTTGCTCTTAACCTGGAGTTCTGACATTAGAGATGATACTGACCTGGAGACTTCAGGGTCTTGCTTTAAGAACAGCAGGATGTACTCAGTATTGATGAAGATGGCCCAGCAAGGAAAGCAGCACCACATCAAGATGAGGATTCCTCTTTGAAGTATGATCCCCACCCGTTTTAGGTTCTTGCCTCCAAAGGACTTGAAGAAACAAACACAATAATAGAGAGTATCAGTATGAACTCACACAGCAAAAGGTGGCCAAGGCCTGGACCACCTCACTACCAGAGGCTCCCACAAGGGGAAAGTGTACCATGTATTCTACCATGGCTTCCCAATGCAGCAGCTAAGCCAAGGGCAGCCGGGGAGCTAGTTAGCCCTGGTGACATTTTAAACATGCCCAAGAATGATCAGTTCCTGCTCTTGGGAACAAGGACAGTCAGACATGGGGGGCATGACAGCAAAGACCAAAGCTTAAAAGGTACAGGAAGAACTGAGGCCATATTGGAGCCGTCCAGATTCTTTTGGTAATTGTTTCTTGAGCTCCTGCTATGTGCCAGGCATAGTCAAAGCCCTGTGGATGAATTCAGCCACGAACAAAGCAGGCAGAAGCCCCTGCTCTCAGGGAGCTAACTCTCTAGCGGGAAAGGGAGAAAGACAATAAATAAGAGAAATAACCAAGGTAGTCTAGGGTGTGCTGTCTAGGATATGGCCGTAAGTGCTGTAGAGCGAAATAAATCAGAAAAGGGGGAAAGAATGTGGAGTGGAAGAACAATTTTTAAACTGGGAAGGGGAGGACCCGCTGAGAAGGTGTTCTCCAGCAAAGCCCTGTGGGAGCTGAGAGCATGAGTGGGTGCACGTGTGGGAGATGCACGGCAGGGCAGCCAGGTGGCCAGAAGCAGAGTGGGGAGGGCAGCAGGCCCCAGCAGCCGCCACTGTGAGACAGGCTCACTGGAGAGGTCCAAACAGAACGACACAATCTGGGGGGAAAGACTCCTCAAGTGAACAGGAGCTGGGTCCTTGACGCATGGAGTGGGCAATGGAAGGGCAGGGCAGGTAGCAGAGAGAAGCAAAGCCCACCCAGATGGAGGGACCGGGTCTAGGACTCCAATATCTTTTTGCAAAGCTCCATTTTCTTTAAGTAACTGAATAGCTGTCTCTTTCTTACAACCCCCAAAAGAGCCTAAGTTAAAACTACAGTAAAAGAGATAATGAAAAGGAAATTTATAGAATACTATGCAAATATTTAAAGAGAAAGGTGTATACCTACTTCACCAAAACAGAACTTTCCCAAACACATTATTCAAGAGAGGGTAAAGCTCTTAGGGAAGAATCAGTTTAGATGAGCTTAGTTCTGATCAAGCTGAGTTTGAGATGTTAGAACATGATCAAATATTGAATCTGCCCATTAGATAGAGATATGGACAAGAGATGGAGATGGTGAGTTTTCAACCTCAGGATGGAGGGCGCACCACAGCAGAAGTTGTGGGCATGGGGCCTCTGAGCAGCAGGGAAACCTCAGGGAAGGCAAAAGAAGAACACAGCCAAAGAGGTGACAAGAAATTTGGGAGAGTCTGCAATTGTGGAAGCTAGGAGTGTTGTAGAGGGCAGAGAGCAGCCCAGTGGGTGAGGGAAGACTGGACCTGATGGTTTACTCACGATAAGCCTAGAGGCCAGGCTCAAGAGATGTGCGGGAACGGAAATGGCATGGATGGGCATGGAGTTGAGGATGGGCGTCAGGACAGGAAGCACAGAGAATATGTCCAAGAAGGTTGGTTTAAAGTTTAAGGAGGGGCCTCCCCGGTGGCGCAGCGGTTGAGCACTGGGTTGTGAAGCTGCCCGCAGCCTCTGCAGTGCCGGTTTGATCCCGGGATGCTCCCCACCCACCGGAGGAGGGTCCCACATGGCGCGCAGACCTCTCCTGCTGCCCACTGCTCCCCTCAGCAGTGTACTTTGGTCCTTCTGCCTGCTCTGCTCCCCGCTCTGGCTCTGGTGAATTCTCTCACCCTCCCGTGCTTCTGACTGTACCCAGTGCTTGTATAAATAAATAAATAAATAAAGATAAATCTTTTAAAAAAAATAAATAAATAAAGTTTAAGGAGAGGTGATGGGGTGGTGGGTGAGGGAAGACAGTATTAGGGTTGTGGAGATCAGCTAAGACAGAAAAAGGAGCAGAAAGACACAGAGGCCAGAATAAGTAAAGCTACCTCTATGTGGTATTTGCCATAAGCATCATGGTATTTGGCAATAAAAACAACTAAAACCAGAGTAGAAAGTCCCCTAGATTGTCTCTAATATGAAAGACAATTGACAAAATTGGGGGAGGGTGATTCTCACCTGAGACATTAGTGTGTCACAAGCGGAGGCCAAGCCAATTCCGACTGAAACCCCAGTGACATTCACAACCTGCAAGGAACAACAGGCCAGGTGACTGGCAAGAACAGAGTCACTGCCAAACAGCCCCCTTAAACCAAGGACCCACAGCAGCATCTATGGAGCAACTTAAAATTGGATATAGAACTCTAAGGCTCTATAGCCACATCTACCCCTGTCAATTATCAACAGGAATGTACACAAAAAGGACCATTATCACGATAATCTCCTTGTGTTAACCAGGTGAGCTTCTAACATACAAAAGGTGCTACACTCTCTGATAGCAAGTCGTCAGAGCACCATGTTTTCTACATGCTGGAATCCACCTTACAAAATGCTACAGGAGAAATTCTTCCAAGACTTAGTATCTTCAGCCCTCCTTCCTTTGAGGAAATGGTTGAGCAACATTTAGTGCACCAGGAGAATCCTTGAAGCAGGGAGGGAGCGTGAAGCGGGGCCTGCGGCATCTCTGGTGTTAATTACCCAGGGCTTGAGTCTTTTTCCATAGGTGTTTCTTTGATCCTATTCTGCTAGCTAGTCCTTTATCCTTCTGTGTTGAAGGTACTCTCATAAACCAATTCAAATTCTTTGTGGCACATGGTGGGGTATACAGAAATATTCTTCTATTTATAAAGCAAACACTTTGGTAAATCTTCTCATTATGCCCAGAACCTTTCACTATACATTCTGCATCTCCAAGATAGGCACTGAGAAAGAACAGTCTACTCAATAAATGATTCTAGGAATTCTAGATAGCCACATGTCAAAGAATAAAATTGGACCACCTACACCACATGCAGAAAATGGATTAAGTTTCTAGAAGAAAACATAGATTTTGTTTGACATTAGCCTTGGTGATAATTTTCTGGATTTGACACCAAAAATGAAGGAACAAAAGCAAAAACAAACAAATGGGATGACAGCAAATTAAAAAGCTACCACAGACCAAACGAAACAATGAACAAAATGGAACAGAAGCCTGTCACATGAGAGAAAATATCTGTAAAACATATCTGATAAGGGGTTAATATCCAAAACATTAAAGAACTTACACTTCTCCATAGAAAAACAAGAATAATCCAAATTAAAAATGGGCAGAGTATCTAAATAGACTTTTTTTTAAAAATAAGAAACAGAGATGGCCAATAGGAATATGAAAAGGGATTCAACATTGCTAACCACCAGGGACATGCCAAAACCACTATGCACGATCACCTCACACCTGTTAGAATGGCTATCAGGGGAAGAAAAAATAAAACACACAAAAAACAAGAACTAAGGATGTGGAGTGGAATATTTTATAGCCATAAAAAAAAAAGAAGGAAATCTTGCCATTTGCCACAACATGGATGAACCTTGACAGCATTATCCTAAGTGAAATAAGTCAGATAAGACAAATACCTTATGATTTCACTTATGTGTAGTGATAGAATCTAAAATAAAGCTTTCTAACTGTAGAGAACAGATAAAGCTTTCTAATTGTAGAGAACAGACAGAAGAAGTTTCTAACTGTAGAGAACAGATTGGCAGTTGCCAGGGACAGAAGAGGGATGGGAGGTATTTGAAAGGGGTGAAGGGGGTATAAACTCCTAGCTATAAAATAAATAAGTCATGGGGATGTAATGAACAGCACAGTGATTACAGCTAATAATAATACTTTATTTCATATTTAAAAGTGGCTAAGAGAGTAGATCTTAAAAGTTCCTATGACAAGAAAAAAAGTTGTAACATGTATGGTGACAGGTGTCAGACTATCATTTCCAATACATACAAATATTGGAGCATTATGGTGTACCCTTGAAACTAACATAATGTTACATGTCAATTATACCTTGAATAGAAATTGCCAATTTTTAAAAGGGTTCTGTGGAATAACAGTAATAGAACAAAGTGTCCCTTCAAATTTCAGGTAATTACCTGCTGTTAACGTCTGCTCACACCCAGTGGATGACCAGGAGTATACCCCATGCCAGGGTCACCACTGCCCTATGTGGTGAAGGGGTCAAGTTCATCCTTGGAGTGGACACCTTAATAACTGGTATATAAAGCTTTCTTCCTTCTTGACTCCCTAAAGGTTTAACCTAAACTTTCAAAGAAAGCAAAAATATCCCCAAAGCAGAATTAGTTTACCCATTAACAGACCTGCAAATAAAAATGTCTGAGTCCACACAGCAAGATCATCTCAACCAAAAAGTTGAAACTTCTGTGCCCCCTCCCCCCCATCTTAAGGGTTTATACTTGCCTCCAGTGGGGTCAGAGAGACATTTTATGAGACTGGGAAAGACCCCTGCTATCACCAACAGGAGGTGCATTTTTCACTTTCTTTGAAAACCCTGGATGAAATGCAAGAGAGAGACAACTTTCCACTGTATCACTAACAAAAAAATCAGGGCAAAAGACTTCAGAGACGGTGGAATATCAATCTAATGGTGGAGTAGTGCTACTGTTACAGGGCAGGGAGAGGGGCAGCCCAAACATGCAAACCTGCCTAAATAGGTTCCACCATCCACCGCATCAACACAAAACATGAGACTTTAATGGGAAGGAACTTTAATACAACTAGGAAACAATACAGGAAAGGCAAAGAATCTAGTTTCTAAATCAAGCACCCAAAGCTACCCGTCCCCTCGTGGGTAAAAGTCCACCCAAGCAGGATGGGCCCAGAGCAAGGCCCCAAAGCCTGCCACAAGTCTAAAGCATCTTCCAATGGGGACCCACATAAAAGCATCAGAAACAACCAGACAAGTCTGGAGGGAAAAGAGCAAAACCAAAATCAAGACAAAAACCGCCATTGTCACCTCCCCACGGGTCTCTCACCCACATCTGTGTCACCCAGTCCACGACCAAAAGGCAAGCGGAGTTTTTTCATGTGTCTCTGTTCTCCATGTGCCTCCTCCAGGTCTCCTTCTGGCTCCATCCTCCTTCCTTCCTCAGTCTCCTCTGCAGCTTCTCCTCTTCCTGCTCAGCTCCACCCTCCCTTGGGTGGGGCAGGGAACCTCCCCCTTTCCTGGGGACCACCCTGTTACACTACCTTAATGAACTGTGTACTTCAAACTCATGGCAGACAACTTAGTTTACTTAAAAATTCTTTGGTTTCATCTCATAATAGGAAAATAATTGTTCGTTTCACCGGTAAATTTACATACTTAGGACAAACTCTTTGCAAAACCTGGCCCTTCTGTCCTGAGAGCTCTGGGCACCACGGGATGATCTAAGCCTCCAGAACACACTTTTCTAATTAGTTGACACGATCTCCTTTCAAATCTAAAAATGGCTCTTGCCGGTCAAGGAAGACACCTTCCTATAAAGACATGTCAAAATAACACGAGACAAAATAATACAGATCAAATCCCGAGGCTTTATCTTGTCAGCCCAAAGAAAAAGATAAAAACGTCGAGACCTACCGACACCACAAGCGTAACCGCATCCAGCTCGACTTTCCCCAGATGTCCACAGAAAATGGAACTGACGACGCCGATGAGAAAGAACATCAGCTGCGCAAGGAACTGCCAAGGGAAAAGCGGGAGTTGACCGGGCGCCGGCGGGACGCTTCTCCGGGCAAAGAGAGCGGGCCCGAGCGTCCCGGACCGGCGGCTGGGGCCAGGGGCCGGGGACCGCGGCCGTCGGGTGGGCGCTGGGCCGCCCACTCACCACGGGGCCCGCGGGGGCGACCTGGGGCGGCCGCGGGGGGTCCGGCGTCGGCCGCCGCGGGAAACTCCAGGACCGAGCGGGACCGAATGGCGGTCCGGCGCGCGGGACCCTGGGGGTACCGCGCAGGGTGGGGGCGGCCCGGCGCTGCGCCGCCCCGCCCATCAGCCCGCGGGCGGTCCCCACAGCCCCCCACAGCCCTCCCAGCCCGACCCCCGCGCTTCCGGACCCAGCCCCCGCCTCGGGCCGGGGCGTCAGGCGCGGGCGCCCACAGATGGCGCCGCAGAGCCCAGTTGGGGCGTGGGGGCGGCGGAAACCTCGGAGAGGAGGGAGAGGGTCGCCGTCTGGGCCCCGGGTGTTGTGGGGGGGAAGCCGCGCGAGCGACGTTCAGCGTTCAGGAAGGCGACTGTGAGTCCGAAAAGTAGAATGAGCGTTTTGCAGGCGCTTCAGGGGGCATTTCTCTCTACCGCATTTTACCACTGTGTTGACGTATTTTACCACACCCCCGCACCCCCGCACCCCCAGTGATGAGCTCCTTGCCAGCAGGGATATTCTGCCTATTTGAAGGCCCCTCCATGTCCCCGGGGAAGGGCTGGTGGAGCGTGAGAAACTTCTAGAAGATAGGGGTGTCCCGTGAGTCAGGAGTGAGGAGGGCCCTTGCGTCCTTCCTAACAGAGAGTTGGGAGGAGGGGATCTGCTGGGGCCACCTACACTCAGGCCCCACCCAATCCCCCAAAGGTGAATGACACTTTCAGTGCAAGACCTTATCTTGGTCCCTGTAAAATGACCCTCCAGCTTCCCAAGAATGAAGCACTGTGGGTGGAGCTGCCTTTACTACCCTGCCCAAAGCTGCTACTCACAGTGACTGATTGCTGATTTATCCTTATTCTTTCAGGGAGAAGGCCAAGCGAGCCTAGTTGCTTGTGTCCATCCCAGTTCCTAGGGTTCCTCACATGGGCTAAGGCTTGCTGCCTTGGCGTGTCCCTAGCCCCACACGGTCAATTCGCCTGGTACTACTTAATCCAAGACCTCAGTTTGAAACATTGTCCTCCCACCACCCGGAGAGGAATTCTCATTGGTTGTGTGGATTTTTATAGCCCAAAGACTACCCCAGCTGTTTTCCAAGGCTGAAGGGAAGGGAGCAACAGTTAAAACCTCATCTTTTTGAGACAGGACCACACAAAACCTTCTGGATGAAACTTGTCCGCCGCAAAAAGCTTGTGCCCTTTTTAAGCAGGAGGATTGATGGGAACAGGAGATAAATAGAGCCTGCCCAGGACACCATCCTCTCCTTTCCTAACAGTCTCTTACCGTTTCTGCTGCATTTCAACTTTATAACCCCTCCCTATTTTTCAAAATAGGAAATGGTCTTCTTCCCTCAGTTTGCCTGGACTAGCCCTTCAAACTCTTTCTCTGGGATGCCGGCCAGTATAGAAGAATGAAGTGCTGATTCAGAATGAGGCCTTGGGCTATAGCTAGCATCATTTCTCCTTGCTTCTGCCAATCATGTCAATTGTGCAGGTTTTAAGACCCATCCTTAACATGCTGATCAACACCATCTGACTCCTTCCCTCTTAATAGTTTGTTTTCTCTCTTTCCATTTCTTAAAGCATCTAGTACCCACAGTGCCTGAGAGCTAGAGCCCACATAAATATCAACAAGTGTCATTTGCCCATTGAATAATAATCTAAGACACAAGGAAATATATATTGTAAAATATATTTTAAATAATTCAGACAGTAAGAATCCTTCTGTACTCATTATATGGGTTTGTGTCTAAAAAAAACAGTATATAGAAGAAATATCAATGCAGAAAGATGAATGCATCAGTACACAGTGGTCCTTGGTTGAGAAGTGATGGATGGATGGATGATCACTCAAATGTATACTTTCAGATATTGTCTTGAACAAGCACATGTAGTTCCTTTTCTTCATTCAAAAGTTTATCTTTGAACTCTCAGTTCTTGAAATCCATGGGCATGGCTGAATTACATTAACTAAAAACAAATTGCCACCACTGGACCTATGAATGATTTGCTTGTAAGCCTGCCTGATCTGACCCTATCTCTCTCTTGCCACATCACTGAATTCTGACATATACTCGCACTAAAATCCCCACCAGTAACAGTAAAATGAACCCCAGGAACAGGAGTCCTCGTTGCAGCAACAGCTGTCTCCTGGACAACTTAGCTGAATCCCTTGGCTGGATATTCACAAGATGTTCTTCTTGGTGCATCTGCTGATCCCACTGAGTCTCATCTTTTTTTTCCACATCTGTCATTAAAATTTCTCCATGGCTTTCTGGGGCTGCTAGAGGGAAAAAGGGATTTAGTTAGCAGCTTAACAGGATTTTCTCCCCCTCTCTATAAAAGCTGATGTGGATATGTGCAGTGGGGAGGAAGTTGATTTAGGAAGTAATTGCTACAATGGAAATCAAAGAACTCCTGTGTGAGGGCACCTCTTGGTTCACTCCCTCATATATACTGAACAGACCCTACCTACTATTGTCCACTTGGGAACTCCAGACAGTTCTGCCCAGCCACAAGCACTAGAGAAATAAGGTGGTTCTCTGAGTTAAGAGTCAGAGGGAAATTTTTTTTAAAGATTTATTTTATTTATTTATGCATATAAGAGCTGGGGTGTAGGCCAGAGGTGCAGGAGGGTGAAAGGATTCACCAGAGACTGAGTGGGGAGCAGAACAGGCAGATTGAATGAAATACACTGCTAAGGGGAGCAACGGGGGAGACAGAAGAGGTCTGCCACGCCATGTGGGTTAACTCCCTGGCCAGGGATAGAACTTGTGCTGCAGTGGCTGCCAATAGCTTCATAGTGCTGAGACTTAAACCCTTGTACCACCCGGGAGGCCCCTCAGGAGGAAATTTTTTAAGGAGCCAATATTTCAGAAAGAGAACAAGGCCAATGGAAGAAAAAAAAAATGAAGCTAAAAAACATTCAAGGCCACTAACAGAACTGAATAGAGATGTGAATCCTCACATGGAAGGGCCCACTGCATATGAAATAGGACAGTGACTCAGACTAGGTTTTAGCCTCATGACAGAATATTAAGAATAAGGAAAATGTCCTAAAGGCTTCCCCAGAGAAAAATTAAGGCAGATAACCCAAAGGAACAAGAATAAAACTGGCATCCAACTTCTTAGTGAGCATAAATGGATGTTGGGAATATGGCAATGCCCTCAGAGTTCTGAGAAAAACTAATGTTGAAAAGGACGGCACCAGCTGGCCCTTGCCAGACAGCTTCCTCCGTGTCGTGCACTGTTCTCAGTCCTTCCTGTGCATGATCTTGCTTAACTCTTCCCCACAAATGTATAGGGTAACCAGTCCATTACCCTGATTTTATAAATGGTTCATGGTAGGAAACTTGGACCAACACTTCCTCTGAAGTTAATTATAAAAGCTGGATAAAACAAATGAGAAATGCCATTTTGAAGAAGTCAGAATGCTAATAATATAAAAAGCCACCAGGGCAAGATCTGGGGGATGCAGGACACCCAGAGAAGCACTCTGGCCTTGGGGGCTGCTTTGGGCCTGAGGTTTCTCCATCTGAAAGAGGCAATGCTTTGGAGAGTTAAGTCTCTATCAAAGTTGGGGCCCTGGAAAACCCTTCATACTTGAGTTTGGAATTCTGAAGAGCTGCACCCAATATTTAAAGATGAACCAGCCCTCACAGTGGTTGTAGCTTGCGTTCAGGTCACCTGGGTGGTCCAGAAATCTCAATTTTTCTGAAACTGCTGTAGACCGCTGGCAACCCTAAGTATTTGACAGAGGTAGAGGAAAATCCTCTCTGAAAATAGAGGACATCAGTTTAGACCGCAAATGACTCTTATCATTCCAATACTAATGACATTGACATTTACAAAGTCTAGAACACAATTGAAGATAATCAGACACCATGAATGAGAACTGGCAGAGACAACTAAAGTGACCACTGACTGCAATTTAGCTGATCTATGGACTCAAAACGTTTTTCATTGTAAAGGAGCAAAGACTAGTGTGAGAACATGACTAATCTCATAAGGAACTAGGATGACTAAAATGGACAGAACAAAAAAGATAAACATATTGACATGATGTTCACCAGAAGTGTAACTTGTTTAAAGCCCATGTGTGTTTGCCCAATGAACAGCAGGGACCCCACTGAAACAAACATGCAAATGTCTGATACATGGTCAAAGCACAGGACCACCAAGCATCAGAAATGCCTGTAGAATGCCTGGGGAAGTATTAGATGTCAGCCAAGGAATTGCCCGCCAGTAGCCATTACAATCATCGATAGCAGTGTGTTAATATCTGGAATTAAAGCAAACAAACTTCATCTGTTTACTTCAAAGTGGGTGTTAACTGAGACATTCTGCAGCAACGGAGAAAAGGGAGTAGGATCCAAAAAGGGGTGGGAAGGGCCTCCCTGGTGGCACAAGGGATTAAGATGCAACCTATGAAGCTATCTGTAGCCACTGCAGCATGAGTTCGATCCCTGGCCAGGGAGCTACCCACATGGCGCAGCAGACCTCTCCTGTCTCACCCACTGTTCCCCTCAGCATTGTGTTTCAGTCAGTCTGCCTGTTCTGTTCCCCACTCTATCTCTGGTGAGTCCTCTCAACTCCCCACAACTCTGGCCTGTATCCCAGTTCTTATATGTATAAATAAATAAATCTTTAAAAATAATAAAAGGGGGGGTGGGAAGAGCACAAGGGACTATGGTGATGGTACACAGGTGAATTGGTGGTGTGAATTTCACAGGGACTATAACCAAGATGAGAAAGCATAAAAAAAAGAAGAAGAAGAAGAAGAAGAAGAACGGTGTAAAAAATTATAAAATATAAATATTTTTAAAAGTGGGTGCTAATTGACTTTGTGGTTTGTTTCTGAAATAGTGTCATCCTATTTAAAAGGGAGTTCACAGCAGCAGATCTAGTTGTGCCCCACAATTGGCCCCTCTGGGAGCTAAACAGCCCTGTTCTGAGAGCTGAGACAGCTGGATCGTACCTGGGTAAAGGAGGTCCTGAGAGAGAGGAGAAGTGCCATCCTTGTTGACTTTCAAATTGGCATGTACCTGAGCCTAGAAGATGAAACTCAAAGTTAATCCGCAAGGCTCAGTCACAATGAAGCAGGAAGTTTCCCAAGTCTGCTGCTTGGGGGAGTCTGCTCCTTAGATTCTGCTGCTTGCTGGAGCAGAGAAGTTGCTGGGTAAACTGCGCTGCTTGTTCACCAGTGGTAACCATGGCTACCTTGGCCCCCTTCCCAAACAATAAAGAATGTGTATGCTATGATGGTATGGGATAGCAAGTTTCCTCATACAAACTGTATAAAACTGCCATTTTTACTCTTGGGTGCTCAGCCTTTTGGGAGCTATCCCACTGAGCCCACCTGTGTGACAAGTAAATCTCCCTCTCCACCTGAGTGCTGTCTCATTTCTCTGAGAAATCGCCATAACAACAGTGTCAATGAAAGACCCCACTTTACCACCCGGTATAGAAAAAGCCACGTCATTTTCTTTAATTAACGTTTACCATTGGAGCTTCTCAAATTCACAAGTATGGAATCTTCTTTCATAAAGATTGATATGGGGTCAGCTGGTGGGGAAAGGTTAAGTGTAACAGCTTAAGAGGCGGGAAATGGTAAGGCCCAAGATCATTTTGGATATTCTCTTCGGTTTTCCTTCACCTCTTTTATCTACCCCTGACTTTTGGGCCCCATATTGACCCTAAAAGTTGAAGAAAAACATGTACACAGGTGTCTAAAAGAAATATTTTGAAATCATAAGAAATAGTAACAGGATGAATTTGATGGCATCCCACCTTTCTCCAAATCTTACCTGAAACTGGCATTTCAGGTGCAAGGTGGTAGACTAGCGTGGGCTGCAAGGGAGGAAAAAAGCCCCCATTTTTCTATTCAACAATTAAGCAAAGGGGGATGGAGCGAGTCAGTGGCATTAGCCCTTCATATCTGAATTAAATCTGTTTAAAACAACAATAACTGCAAAGCAACATTCGTGATAAAAGCACAAAGAACCTTTTAAAATGAAAGAGATGCCTCAGATGCTTGCAAGTTTTGTCTCTTTCCTACCCTTTGTTTGGTTTCCTTATAAGAAACCATGCGATATTTATCTTTTTCCTTCTGACTCATTTTGTTTAGCATAATCCCTTCCAGCTCCATCCTTGTTGCTGAAAATGTTCTGGGAGGAAGAGGAGGGGGGTTAAAATGGCAGGGAAGAGCACAAGTGACTGTGGTGATGACTCCCAGGGGCTGTGGAGGTAGAGAACTACAGGGACTAAACCTGCAGGAGAAATCAAATACTATATGAAAATGAACAACGCTGTAAGAAAATAAATAAGTGAATTTCATTATAAAAATAAAATGAGAGAGAGACCAAGCTAATTGTGCTTGCATTCTAGGAGCAAGCCCTTTGCTGGGACAGCAATGAACATAGTTACCTCTTGACAGGCCTTTTTCCAGTTTAGTCGAGCAATGAAGCCTAGAAAACACACAGCTTGAGAGATGGTACAGATGATAATTCCTGCCCACAGACCTAGAAGTGGAAATATTTAAAAGAGGTTAATTCTGTGGAGAACCCACCACCCCTGGAGTATAAGTTCGTCATATCTCACTTAGGAACATCTGTTCTCATGGCGGAAGTGGTGCCCACAGTGGCCGAGGGACCCCTCCCTGCTCTCTCCTTTGTTTTCCAGAAGGTTGTCAGGGAGGGAGTGTGCTTCCCAACACTACCTCCCAGGGTTCTGAATCTCAGAACAAATGTTCAGATGCTATTTTCGGGCCTTTTTAATCATAATGCTTGGCTACTAAGAATGGTGCCAGTTATAAGGAAATAAAATTTCAGGATAAACTAACTCCTATTTCTAATAGTATCTCCAAACTACTATGCCCTGTTCTCAAAAAGGTGGACTGAGATTGTAAAAAATGCTTCCTGCACTACTCACTTGCCTCAGGCACAGACTTTGCTAGAAGCTTCCAAAGCAGAGTTACCCCCCAGTTATGATTAGAGAAGAAAAAAGGAGCGACTGAGTGGGAAGGGAAGATGGGAAAAATCTTGCAGATCCCAAAGCACCATATAAACTCTGCCTAATATACCCACATAGGACCCACAGTGAGACCCCAAGTTACCAGGGTTTTTTTGTTTGGTCAACAGTGAATTAATGGTAGAATCAGAAACTCTTACTGATAGTCATGAGAGACTGAATACAGACACAATGATCAGACCATACATTAAAGTACAACTTTAACCGATAACCAAAAGCCACCTGCCCAGAAAACCAACTCCTTATCTACAATAAACAACCCTGAAAGCCTGCCTATATGTCAGACTTGCAAGAGGCCAGATTGCTATCTCCATGCACAATCCAAGCAACTCAATAATGACTTCTGAGGCAATTCACCCAAAATGACCAGGACTTGCTCAATAACTGATAGCTTCCCTAATTAGGAACAACTTAGGATCAATCAGAGAAAACTAAATATGCATCCCTGTCCAATCACACAGAGTGCTCCATCTCTTGACAGCCCACCGCCAACTGCCTCAGGCCCACAGCCGCCCACCAGGCACCCTGAGTCTCCCCTTGTCCTTCTGTACCTCCTTCCCACTCCTCTGCCTGCCTTCAAATGTGTGCCAATGGCAAGTGATGGAGGCTGACTCCCTCTCTAGAGGAAGCTCAGAATAAAGGGCCTTTGCTTGATTATTCAGCTGGTCTGTGTCCACAGCCAATCATGGCAATCTCATCTGCGCCAACTATCATCGTGAGCGCCAATCTTGGACCATGTATGGTACTACAGTGGCCCCTTGTGCCTCTCTGTGGCTTGTCCATAATGACGTAAGTCAGGGCTGGCTCTGAACTTTTCACTCTCGTTTACCCTGAGTTTCTGGCTATTTCTTCTTTGGTTTAGTGTCTGGGTTTGGTAATGGTTTCCATGTATTTGGCCACCTAGATGAAATCAGACCTTTTCTTCATCCCCTTTTGCTGTCTTTCAGATTACAAGTTGGTGTTCTGCTATGTAAAAGTGTCATGTGTCATAGGGTAGAATGCAGGCACTGGCCCTGTAAGCCTGTTCAGTGAGCTGGTCTCATGGACCCATGAATTTGTAGTTCTCACTGGAACAGCATCCACTTGGACAAATTTTGCTGTGGGTTGCCAGTGAAACTGTGTAAAGATTCTCCTTTCATCTCAACAGCATGTTCTGAGATGGTGGCTTTGATGCAGAGAGAATTCTCTCTGGTCTTCCACCTGTCAAGAGGCACAGATTTGTTGGGTCTGCACCTGGATGTGGCTGACACATCTGCATCTGAGGTGGCTGGGGGCCCTAAAACATGAGGTTCCTAGGTCTTCCATGCCTACTGGGCCTCCCCAGGCCTATAGGGGCCTTACTATCATTCCTGATCATCTAAGTCTAAACCGTTTCCTCTGCCTGCAGAAACTCCTACTTCTTACATGTGCTCTCATCACAATTTGACTTCTTGTGCCTGTCTTTCTTTTTTTTTCTTTTTTTAATTATTATTTTTTAATATTTTATTTCATGTAATTCTTTTTCCCCATCATCCTATTATATAATTCTTACATCATTTTTCATTTTTGCACAATGTATGCATTTTCATTTTGTTTATATTCCCCATACAATTGCACCCCTCCTTATTTTGACCCTAATCCTTCCTCTCCCCTCCCCCACCCTCACCCCAGTGTATCTCTGGTATACAGTTGCTTGTTGATTTTGATTTTTACTTTGTATTAATTAGTCTTTTTCCTGGTCCCTTATTTAGGTTTTCTAAATTCCTGCTATGAGTGAGACCATCCGGTATTTTTCTTTTTCTTCCTGACTTATTTCGCTGAGCATGATCCCTTCTAGCTTTTCTAAATGGCTTAACCTCACCAAGGATGAACTGGAACCTTGGTGGCCACTCTGGGAAACATTTGATTTAAAAAAAAAAAACTTTCATTTGACATGAGCTTAGGGAAAAAACGGAGTAAGGTTTCACAAGTCCAGTACGCAGCATTTTTTGATTAGTACACTAAAGGGCTCTGAATGAAATTCTGAAGAAAAAAATTGCTCCACTAAGAGAGTCTTTGGCTCCAGTTAGTGAGCAATTTGACAAATTAAGTGGGAAAAAGTGAGACTCATTTCCCTAGGAAATCCTTCCCTCCTTCCCGTCCAGTTACTCACTCTCTCTTGCCTCTTATCTTTCTCCTTCTGCGCCTCCTTCCTCCTCTTCCTCTTATTCAGATCCTTCCATAAACCTAACAGATCTCCTAAAAATCTGCCTGTTCTGCTCCCGACTCTGGTGAATCCTCTCACCACCACCACCGCCCCTCTTGCCCTGTGCCTCTGGCCTATACCCCAGTTCTTCTACAAAAAAGTTTAAAAAATTCTGTTCTTGTGTGATGACAGTTTGCAAAGAGCATTGTGATACTGCATGCCCAGAAAGACACTATTTTCTTGAGGCCCCAGAGGGCCCCCTACTCACAGTCACGTGTGCTCTGTACCATCTCCATATAGTTGACGCAGCCCCCAGACTACGATATTGATCCTAGTCTGTACCTGATCCTGCATGGAAATACCTGAAAAATATTCTATCTACAGCCAAATAATTGGAGCATGATCCATAAAAGTTCAGGTAGCTCCTACCAAACATGACCTACATTTCTCTAGCATGCCTTGAAGACAGAAGAAAAGGCAGGGTGCAAACCTATAGTTGAGGGACTTAGATCCAGAGGTCTTCCCCTACCCTGCACTGGCCCTTGTATTACTCTTGTGCTGTCAGTAAAGAAACCAAGTGAAGGGGGATATGGATTTGTTCAAGACTGCAGGATCATCAACACAATTGTTATCTATGGCTTCCTGGGACCATCCTGCCATCAATTCCTCCTGAAGCGACTTGCTTTACTGTGGTTGATTTTGCTCTGCCTTTCTCAGTGCACCTCTACACCAAGGCAGCCAACGTTTCTTGCTTCACCTGGGGAGGACAACAGTTTACCTGCACAGTCATGCCCCAGAGGTTCAGTGAAGCCCACCATTTTTCTCAGTTCCTCAATCAAGATTTAAAAGATTTCAATTTCCCATGTAATTGAGTTCTGATACACATATGGATGGCTCCTACTTTGTTCAGAGAACAAGAAAGAATTCAGTTTTGTTGCTCTCAGCTTTCACACAAAAGGGACATAAACTTTCAAAAGATGACACTTTTGTGAGTTCATTTAGAGCTATTGAAGGAGAGGAAAACTCTCCCAATAGGCTAAAGGCTATACACAATTAGCCTAGACCCCTCAAAAAGTGACAACTGAGATAATTTCCAGATTAAATGAATATTGCAGACCATAGGGGTCAAGGTTTTCTGAGACTGACCGCTCTTCATGAACCGACCAAGCCCTCAGTGAGAGACAATCTTTTCAGGCATCCCCAGTGTGAACGGGCCTCCGGAACCTGAGGACAGCTCTTCAAAAGCCTCCTCCCAGGAGACCATAACACAAGGCGCCATTTTCCTATTAGTGCATGAAACCTCTGGACCAATCCTTGGATTTTAACTCCATGGGAGCAATGCAACACCCACTGTTTGCCATGCCTTACCCTTGACCCCACTGCAAAGTCTTGTCTCTCTTTGGCAATACTTCTGTGCTGCAAGACTTGATGCTTTTGCTGAATTAGTTCCAGGCTCCCTAGTGGACCTCACAGTTGGTCATGAAGTACAGATGTTATCACTGACCAAGAATACTCAGCACTCTTCAGCCAGTGACTAACCTCTTAGGAAATTCTGTTGGTCTCTCCCTCGCACATTAGCATTCACAGTTGCAAATCCTGCCATGCCCTGCTTCCACCAGAAGGGAGCCTTGTGATTATCTTCCCACACTTAGATTTCTTAGAGGCTCCTTAGAGAACTCTGACCTGGTTTATTTGTTGAGACTCCAGGTCATCAAGCAGCACACATCCAGTCCTCCTCGTGAGGGCAAATCAGCCCAGATGGCAGAACTTATTTGTGCTTCTTTGAACATGTCAACCAGTCAAAGATCAGAGAATGAACATGTATACAGAGAGCAGATCTGCTTTTGGGGGTCATACAGGATTTGGGATGCTTTTGGAAACAAGCAGGCCTTCTCACTTCTGCTGGAACCCCCCATCAGAAAATGGCCAGCAAGCTAGGGGACTTTTAGATGCACTCCCACTTCCTAGGGAGGAGAATATTATCAAGATTGAAGCCCGTGTTTGGCTGCTACATGAAATATGCTAGCAGAATACCAGATAAACTGCTCTCACCAGATTATGATCTTATTTAAGCCCTCAAAGGATAAATCTCCGCATAGATTCAAAAAGGCCATAAAATATCAGCATTTAGCCCCTGATTTTGAAAAAGGAAAGAATAGAAAAAATCTGGTTGTACCCTTCTCTTGGGAAATCTCTGCTACTACCAAGACACTCACTTGTTAGCACAGGTTTCAAATGGATATCAGCTAAGCTTCTCAATGAAACCACTCATTGTGGAATAGAGAGGTTAATTAATACCTAAAGTCTACATTGGCGGAGAAATGTTAAATAGATAGCTGGGGAGGGAAGAGGGTAGGCAGACGAGCCTCTCTAGGTCATGGGTCACCTGTTGGTAATGTAAGTCTGGCCGCTTGGACATGACTAGGAACCAAAGCACACGGCCTTTAGAACACCTGCAAATGAGTTTTCCACCCTCCGCAGGATTTAACTACGTTTTAGTTATTGTATGTCTCTCTTCAGGATGGACTGAGGTATTTCCTTGCCACCACAAAGTGGTTTGATCTTGTGTTTCTAGCCCAGAGTATCCCAACTTTTACATCAGGTAACTGAGGTACACATACTTTATGGAACCATATAAAAGAACTCTGTGAAGTGTTAGCCCCTACTCAAAAACTATGCTGTCCACCTACTATCTTCTGGACAAGTAGAAAGGACCAATGCCATTCTTACATTCAAATTAACAAAACTTTCAGAAACCCTTGAGTTCCCTTAGCCAAAGGTACTGCCTCTTGTCTTTACAGTCATACGGTCCAGTCCCTCAGAGACACATCAGTTATCCCCCTTAGTGACTGAAGATCCGTGTATCTAGGGATTTCACCTCATACCTACACTCTGCCCTTTCGCAAGCAGACATGGCAAAGTATTGCAGGGCCCTACCACTTTCCACAACTTAACAGGATAAGGCCACCTTCCACAACTTCTCACCACAAGCTCCTAGGTAACCTCATCAAGAGCTTCAAACCAAGAGCTATCCAAGAAAAACTACCCTTGAACCTGATAGGATGGGCCCCCACCAGAGGTCATGAAGCTGGTCCACTGCCTTTTATTCAGAGTCTTAAATACTTCCATGGGGCAGCTCTCTCATCAGATGGCCACCAGAACACACCAACAGAAAGGGAAAGAAGACCCTGCAGTACTGTTGACTATGCAGGTGACTGGACAACCTCCAAGTGGAAAAGATCTGGGTTTAGTTTTTAGTTTTCCTCAAATTGATTGGCCCCTCACAGTGAGAGAATTACCAAAAGGGGAGACCAAGACACTGAATATATGCACAGACAAACACAGAACCAGAACTTAGATCCACAAAGTGCAGCAACCTGCCCAGAAAACTAATATCTTATCTACAATAAACAATCCAGAAAGCCTGCCTATATGTCAGACTTGCAAGATGCCAGGTTGCTATTTCTAGCGATAATCCAGTAAGCTAAACAATAATGTGTGAAAATCGACCCAAAGAGGCCAGGAAGTGGTCAATAACTAACAGCTTCCCTAATTTTTTGTTCGGTAGGTGGCAGAGACTGGCCAACCAGAGGAAATTAAATATGCATCTCTGTGCAGTCATACTGGGTGCCCCACCTCTTGTTAGCCCACAGCCTTCAGTCGGGCACACCTGAACCTCCCCTTGTCCCTCTGTACCCCTTTTCCATTCCTCTGCCTTCCTTTCAATGTCTGCCAATGGCAAGTGATGGAGGCTGTCACCCTCTCTAGAGCAAGCTCAGAATAAAGGGCCTTGCCATCTAGATCTGGGCAAGGGTAAGGTGGCTAAACTGGGTAGCCAGACTTCGTACAAAGCTTACAATTCTCCTCTTTGGTACTGATCACCCTCATATCACTTTTCAGGTATGATCATCCCGTAAAGTTGGTGGCCACCTGACATTCCTATAATGGACAAATAAAAACCAACCACTGACTTTCTCTTTCAAACCCACTGTTCTCAATCCAGACAAAGCACATGCTCAGCTTAGCCATCTTGAACAGAAAACCACCAGCTACCTCCACCTGTAATTTGAAAGTTGTGAATTAGATTTCCAGTGGTCATTTCACTATAGACCATTACAAACAATTCTGTTTGACTCAACCCAGGAATGCCCAAATAGGGTCATTGTCAGAATCCCCAGAATGGAAACCAGAAATGTGTGTATTTAACAGTGTCTCAGAGAACTGTGATGGCCGTTATGATTTGCTGGAATTGCTCACGAGACTCAGTAAACTGATGCTCCTGGACAGTTGGTGCAGGTATAGTGCATACAGCACCAGAGTGATGCAACCTTCAAACCCAGTTTGAGGCAGCTCTCCTGCCCACCTGTGTCAATTCAGGCATCTCTTTCTTAAACTTGCCATTTCCAAATGGAGCTCTCCTGCATTCCTGTGACTATGCAGGTGTTTCTCTCCACCAGCCTTCGCCCTTTGCAAACATGAGCAGCAGCTCTCCCAAGACTGCCGCCTGTGTCTATGCAGGCATCTCTTAACAAGCCTGTCTCTTTCAGGGGCACCTCTTTCTGTCCGCTTGTGTCTGTGCAAGTATCCTTTATTTTGCTCTCCCTTTTTATAATAAACCTGTCATTTTGGATATTAAAAGGCAAACAGACAAAAAACACCAATAAAATCAGTGTGTACTAGGATTTTTTTCTAAAACGTCGGTAGGTGGCAGGGACTGACTGTCTTCTCCCCAGAGCCCACACTTCCCCCAGGGTTCCCAGCATTTCTATTAAGTGATTAACTCCCTCTACTTTGCATATAATAGTACACTTTTCTCAGATAAATGGATGGGTTCAGTACAACACTTGGGACATAGATGGAGCTACATTTTTAAGTAGATTCCTTTAGCTCTGCTATTGGCAAATCCAAAATAAGAATAATGCCAGATTGCAGCTAACTAATTTTCTGATCATGATATGCAAGCCCAGTGAACTTTGCATTGGCAACTCCATTCTTTGCTCCCATATTTTTCCTTAAAATATTTTGAACTTGAGAGAAATGTGCAAGGTAATGGGACACATTGGACTGGAAGTTCATTCTAGGTATCAAATGGCTTCTCACCATCTCTAAGTCTGCCAAGTACTGACAGATAAAAACAAACCACAATTAAGTGAATCAGTCCTTCACCCAAAGACAATGTGTTCAGGTTTGAATAGAAGCATTTATTACTGCCAATGTATTTCAAATTATTATTTTAGAAATCAAAGCTGGGCAGGCATTTGCTTACCTACATTTTAAAAGATTAGCTCTGGTAATTTCAGATCCTGTGAATTAAGTTCTTTCCTCCAAATGTAGAAAGACGATAAGAAGTCTTCCCACCCCACCTCTGCCTGCCTTTTGGGCTGGTCACACACATCACACATGTGCCCTTGGAGGGAAAGCCATAAGACATAAGGCTTAAGAAGTTGTACAGGCAGGAGGCTGCAGAACGGCAATGAAAGTAACATGAAGAGAACAGCTCTAGGTTCGCATGTTATAGACTGCCCACTGTGAAGCCTGCCTTGCTGTGTGCACTAAGACACTGGGTGCTCTGCTCCAGGTTATATGCAGTCACTGAGGGTGCTGCCAGAAGTTCTGGAAGAAAAACAGCAAGGCTGGCCCAAAGCTTCCACTGCCTCACCTCAAACAGGTTAGTGTGGCCAATTTAGGATGGTCCCAGGCAGCAGTTTTCTCTCAGGGTCTCACCATACATGGGCTGTCACAGCAGTGTGGAGCCACTAATGGTATGTTTCTGAATGCTGTTTCAGTGGTCCCCACTGCCACCAAGAAGTGAGAATTCATCAATATAGGGTAGGAAGATGAGTAGAAAGAGTAGGGTAGGAAGATGAGTAGAAAGAGTGTCTTGCTCCGCTCAAGTATATCTAATGAGCATGGCTGCTCACTGGGTAAGAGGGGGCACAAACAGGTGGCCTTGGGACCCTGACTGCCTCTGGTCCTCTCCCTCCCTCTTGGACTAGATCCAGAATGAATGCAGCAAAGGGCGAACATTCCAGAGCTAAGTCTCAAAAAAGAGGCTACAGGGCCTCCCTGGTGGCGCAAGGGGTTAAGCACTGCTCTATGAAGCTATCCGCAGCCTCTGCAGCACGAGTTCAATCCCCAGCTGGGCAGGGAGCAACCCACATGGCGCAGCAGACCTCTCCTGTCTCGCCCGCCGCTCCCCTCAGCAGTGTATTTCAGTCAGTCTACCTGTTCTGCTCCCCACTCTCTCTCTGGTGAATCCTCTCACCGCCCGCCCACCCCACCCCCATCCCACTCCCCTCTTGCCCCCCCCCCCCCCCCCCCCCCCCCCGCCCACCGCCCTGCATCTCTGGCCTGTGTTCCAGCTCTTGTATGCATAAATAAACAAATCTTAAAAAAAAAAAAAAAGAGGCTATGTGCCCTCAGAGTCATTTCCTGGGCTGATGGGTAACTCAGTTCTGCCTGACCAAGGTTGAAACATACCAATCACGCCCAGTTTGGCAGCAAACATCAGTGATATTCCAATCGGGAGGCCGATGATGTAATACCCAAGGGCATTAACGATGGCTCCAACCTTCTGGTTTCCACTTCCCCTCAGAATCCCACCACTTGTACACTGTAGGCAGACAACAATCCATCAGTATGAGCTCTGCACATGCTTCTGGAAGACTCCCAGCCCCCAGCACTTTCTGTTCCAAGGGACTCAGATTCAAAACCTGTGACCTTGAGCCAGTGTTCTTGTAAAGTGAATACGAATATTCATTCGGTGTTACCTTTCTGGTTCTTCTTCTTCATTTAGATTTATCATCAACAGACAAAACACAGAAATCATAAAAGCGCTTATAGGAATACTGCATAATACTTACAGCAAGACCTTCGAAGAGGTGGGAAATGGCATAAATTGGAACCACCTGAGCCACTAGAGCAATTATTTCTCTGTTAGGAGGATAAAGCACATGGGGATTAGGAGACAAAGGTGGAGGAAAAGTGGAAACACACAGGACTCAGGTGAGGGCAAGGCTCATTCAGGGACAGTCCTCTTGAGGGGAACCTTGGGCTGCAGAGGAAACCAACTCTATGCTGTATCTCACAAATTTTACAAAAAAGTTTAGTCCATTGGGTAAATGTAGAGAGTTAAGTCAAATGATTTGGTATCCCTCCACCCCCAAATAAAATCTAGATTATAGCATTCCTTATGGATGCTTTGGTGGTGGAGAGCTACGGTGAGCACACCTGAGGAGAGAAATCCTATACTATCAAAAAAAAAAAAATTAACGAGAATGTAAAATAATGGTACTTCATTAAAAATTTAATATATATATATATATATATATAATTTGGATGACAGCGCCATCTTTCTTCTAACAGAGTCCACACATGACTGTATCTGAAAAAGGACAACAGAATAGAGATAAGGTTCTCTTTATGGAACGAGGCTGGCAGCTGATCAAGAGCTTATGCTCTTATCTAGAGCTTATGTACAACTTGGTTCCTAGAAATGGGCCCTGCCCTTAAAAGCTAGAGATTTGGATTTTTTTATTTAAATTTTATTTTTATATTCCCCTTACAATTACAACCCCCTTATTTTGACCCCAATCCCTCCTTTCCCCACCCCCATCCCCCATAGAGTGTCTCTGGTTCATAGTTGTTTGTTGATTTTGATATTTTCTTTCTTATAGTTATTCTTTTTCCTGGTCCCTTATTTAAGTTTTCTAGATTCCTGCTGCTACACTTGAAAGGAGACTGCAAAAATGGTGTCACTGATCTGGGGGAAGCAAAGAGTTTATAATATCCTTGAGTGAGTTTCATCACAGATAATCCCAGAACACTGCCTGGCAATAACTATTTGCTGAATTAACAAATAAGAAATTCAGCACTGGATGGTCACTCCCCACTCCTCTCAAAAGGACAGAAATATAGTATTTTTATTCAAATTTTTTTAATAGGTAGGTAACCTATGCAAATGGGTTAAAGAAATCAAAAATCTGAAAGGATGTTGAGAAAAATCTTCTGTAACTTTCCCAGTCCTCTTCATCACCATCTTTCCCCAACCAGGTAACAATTCTTAGTATTGCATTTGTCCAGTTTTGAAAAAAATATAAAGAAATGCAAATATATATTCCTATTTTCCCCATCTAGACTCCATTATGTCATGTGATAGCAGTTTTATGTGATGTTCTACACTTTCATTTTTCCACCTGTTATATTTATATTTCATCAAAATTTATTATTTTTAGTGTGCTGCTGAATTCTGTCTACTAGTATTTTATTTTAGATTTTAAAATGGATGTGTTAAGAAGTGAGGTTGGTCTGTGGCTTGCTTGCTTTTTTTAAAAAAAGATTTATTTATTTATGCATACAAGAACCGAGGCATAGGCCAGAGGTACGGGGTGGGGGTGAGAGGATTCACCAGAGAGAGTGGGGAGCCAAACAGGTGGATCTACTGAAATACACTGCTAAGGAGAGCAGCGGGCGAGGCAGGAGAGGTCTGCTGTGCTATGTGGGTAAGTTCCCTGGCTGGGGATCGAACTTATGCCTCAGAGGCTGGTGATAGCTTGATAGCTCTGAGACTTTAACCCCTATGCCACCAGGGAGGCCCATTGCTTGCTTTTTCTTTATGGTACCAAACTATTTGCTCATAAACAGAATGTGGGAATATTCTTCTTCTGACCTCTGGAGTAGCCCAGACAGCACTGGAATGCTCTGCATTTTAAAGCTTTAATAAAGTCTTCATGGGAACCCTCTGGGATTATGTTTTTTTGAAGTTTAAAAAATTTTCCCCCTTACTTTTTTTTTTTTTTTAAGTTTGATTTATTTATTTATACAAGAACCAGGGTACAGGTCAGGTGTACGGGAGGGTGAGAAGATTCACCAGAGACAGAGCGGGGAACAGAACAGGCAGACAGACAAAACACATTGTTGAGGGGAGCAGCAGGCAAAACAGGAGGTCTGCAGCACCATGTGGGAACCTCGACGGCCGGGATAAAACCAGCGCTGCAGAGGCTGCGGACAGCTTCACAGCACTGTGCTCAACCACCTGCGCCACCAGGGGAGGCCCTCCCCCTTACTTCTTCTAAGGAAATCAGTCTATTTAGATCTGATAAATTTTCAAACTTACCTGCAAAGTTGTGCAAACTAATCTCTTAAGCTTTCAAAACATTACTGTTTTTTAGTAGTCCCCTTTCTTATTTTGCATAGTTTCTCTCTGCCTTCCTCCATGATGCTTAGGTTAATCTTAGTCATTGAGTCCACCAGTTTTAGTCTCCCCATTTCCTCAAAGATACAGTTTGTGGGTCTCTTGTTTTTCATTCTTTTTCCTGCTCTATATAGCTTCCTGAAGTGGACAGATTCAGAACAAATTCCCATGTGTTCTTTCTGAAGCCACCATCCCAGGGTACTCTTCTGAGAGTTAATTCTGATCCCGCTGAAGAAAATGAGGATTTATGGTTGCCTTCCCACTCGTTCGAAGTGAGACATTAAAACATCGTATTCCCAACAAGCAAAATGACTGAGACTAAAGATGACTATCTAATATTGGAAGTCAAGAGTCAAATGCCTTAAAATAAACCATGAAAGTTAATCCTACCCACTCCATCTGCTTTTTGAATCCATGAATGAAGAGTTAATTTTGCACTGAGTGATTGCTGATTTAAAAAAAAAATCATCCCAAATAAGAGATGTCCACACAATGCATAATATAGTCAGAATGCACCAGCTAACCTCGTTCGTTGCTGAAAACAAAAACAACCAAACAAAATCCACAGAGCTGGTGTTTCATCCTGTGCGAGAATGCTTGGATGCATTTTTTGGGATAGCTATATATATTTTGTATTATTGTTCATTTTTGTACAATATTTGCTTTCTCCTCTCAGGTGTACTCCTCGTAAAATTCCCACCACCAGTTCACCCATATAGCATCACCATAGTCCCATGTGCTTTTCCCTCCCCTATTTTGATCCCTCTTCCTCCCCCTCCCTTGCACCCTGATTTACAGTTGCCTGTTAATTTTGGAGTTTTATTTATTTATTTTTCCTGATCCCTTATTTGGTTCTTCTCTATTCCTCCTTTAAGTGAAACCATCTGATATTGGTAAGATTTTAACTTCAATTCAGACTGACAAATGTGTTACACAATACTACAGAGCAGGCACTTTGGCCAATTCTGAGATATTAAGATAATTCTTGTCATTGGGAACAAAAGAATTAACTGAAAATGTAACAAATGGCCCCAAAAAGAAGTGTCTCTCTTTAAAGTACATGAGTGGACTGACCACCAAAGCCCGTTAAATTGGCATTCTAGATAATAAAGTAGCTCCTGCTTCTAGTCAGTTCTTCCCAGGTAACATGGGGAGTTTCCGATCTTGCAAATGACTCAGGCACCCCTCCAAGATCCAACCACTGGAGGAAGCCCAGTGTGAAAAATCCAAGCACCCATGTCTTTAGCACAGATTTCATATTTCAAGGAAATTTCTAGCACTCACCGCTCAGTGGTGAAAATATACCCCACGAGATCCTTACAGCTTAACAGCAGGACACATAAGGTTACAGCAAAGACTTCTAGGGACAAAATGGTAGAGAAACAGCACAGTGAAACAGGAGGTCCAGAGGAAGGGAGAACCTGGGTATACGGGCACAGACTGCACAGGTGCAGGCTCTGAGTAAGGAGTCTAAGCACCTGTGATCACCAGGGCGACAGCTGAGGACCTCTTGGCCTGCTCAATGTTTCCAGCGCCCAACGCATTCCCCACCCGGACGCTGGCAGCCACACTGAAGCCTGTGGGTATCTAGAGTGAAAAAGGAAACCTATCATGAAACTATAGGAGTGAGAGCAGGGGTCAGAGAAGCAGCCCTGCCTGGTGGTCTAGTTCTGAGGCTAGTCACTATCTTCCTCAGGCAGGAGGGACCTGGTAGATTATACTTCCCATCTCATTGTGAAAACGTGGTCCTAAAAGTTTGGAAAGGTGAATTTGCAATATCTACTTTGTCTAGTTGGGAGCCCCCATTGTAGAACCTGGAACCCCAGGCTGTGGGCCTGTCACACACTGGACTTTTGTGAAGTCCTCTGAAGCCCTGGACAGTCACTTTCCCTGCTAGGTATGGGAGAATGGGCTTATAAGAAGAGAAAGACTCATACCAAGCTGATAGCCATGCTACCCTTTATGTGACAGGCAGGATGGTACAGGGAAGCAGAGGCATTGTGGTTAGGAATGGGCATTCTGAAGTCAGACTGCCTAGGTTCAAATCCTGGCTTTGCTACCTGTCAGCTGTATGACCTGAGCAGGTTACTCACCCTCTCTCCACCTCAACTGTTATAAGACCTACTTTGCAGAGTTACTGTGGGAATTTAATGAGTTCACATGCTAATTGTTTAGAATAGTGTCTCATCTATAGCAACTGTTTGATTAAGATTAGCTATTACTGTTATGTATAAATTTGCCACTTCAGAAATTGGTATTAAAAAAGAAAGGAGAATTATCACTTGTTTAAATGTGGCTCTTGCCTTATGATCAGGATGACTGAGAACAGGGCTAAAGAAAATCTGGCACACAAACAGAGGCATATGAAAGAAACAAAAGACTGAATTCCTTCCTAGAAACTCTCTAGTGGGAGCAACACACTATTTATTAATTACAAAGGGAAAGAAAGTGACTTGATGGTGGAGAAACCTGACAGACAATGCCTTAACCAAGCTATCAGTTCCTATCAGCAACGATGGGACAAATCCACATCATACCTGCTGACACAGTGCATGAGAAGAACACAGCTCCATTCCTACAGCATTCCCGCCAAAAATGCAGGGTCAGAATCTATTCATGAGGAAGTATCAGTTACAACTAATTAAGGGAAATTTCTGTAGATAGTAGTCTACATTACACAAAAATGGTAAGGTCCAGAAGGACAAAGAAAGGATGAAGACCAGGAGTTTTTAGTGTTGGCATGACACCTTTATTCCAGGAGAAAAGTAGTTACAAAAGGCATTGTCAGAACAATCGGTGATATATGAACACCAACTGTGGGGATAATGGATGAGTGGATAGATAATAGACAGATAGATAGACAAGGCAATAGATAAAATGAGTGAGCAAATGGGGTGAAATGTAAACAACTGGTGAATATGAGTAAAGGGCATAAATTCTTCTTTTGATTAGAAGAAGCATAAATGTAAATTCCCAAAGCCTGTTGGAAGGTATATGGAAATATATGCAGAAGACAAAATTCCAAATAAGTTTTACTTTTAGGAATTATATTAAAGAAATAATCAGACACATCTACAAAGATAATTGTCCTAAGATGTTCAGTGAGGTGCTGTTAATAATACTGAAACACCAGAAATTAAATATTCAACAAAGGGAGAATGATTTAAAAAACGATACTCCACACAGTGGCATGCTATGCACCATTAAAGATTTAGATGTAACTACTGAGTTTACTGAAATATAAAATGTGTGTCAAATATGAAAGTGCTCAAGTGATAAATATAGGTTTAAAAATTCTGCCAAAGATCGGGGGAAAAAAGCAAAGACAGGAAACAAAAGCCCTAAAAAAAAATACTCTTAAAGAAAATAGGAAATATAGATTGTATATACTTTTTAAAATATAACCAAGGGGGGCGGGGGCAGGTGACTAGCCTAAACATTAATACTACAAACAATGCCCAAGCTCATACGCTGGCTTTAGTTCCTTTCCATATTAAAAATTCCTCTTTCTGTCCCCATCTTTTATTTTATATTGCTAAAATGGGACTTGCTAGAGAAGAAAATCCTTCAGAATTTTCATGTGATGGTTTCAGTAAAACTAAGTCAAAGGAAGACCTCTAACAAGGGTTCTTGTGTAACAAAATGTCCTTCATTTTCAAGGCTAAATAATATTCCATTGTATGGTTAAGCCATATTCATTGATGGATACTTAGGCTGCTTCTGCTTTTGTGGGATCACAAGTAATGCTGCATTGAACATGACTGTGCAAATATATGCTCAAATATTTGCTCAATATCTCTTTTGATTCCTTTGGGCCTGACCTAGGATTGGTCATATGGAATGTTAAGAGACACCAGAACCAGGTTAGGATGGGGCTAAGTTGATGTAAAGAGTTTGGCCCTTAGTGTTATGCACTCAGGACCATCAACGTGTCCCCAAAGCATCTGTGTTGTAACAACTGGAAAAGATTCTTCATGTTTGGCAAGTCTTTCTGATGTGAATTGTGTTAGGACATGGAGAACCAGAAGTAATCAAGTTATTTGGTGTTTTTCTCCCCACCTACCTACAGCTCCCAGGGAAGACCCCACCATACCAACAAGTACCCTCCACATGGCTGGCTATCAGATGCTCACCATGTAGACAATGACAGCCAGTTCGTACACCACAGACTGGGCTCCCAGCTCCACCATGCCAAGGATACCTGGTGGAGAGAGAAAGCTGACTCTGTGCTCTAGACAGGACCCTGCATTTCTAGCAGCCATTGCCATCTCTCCCCACACTGACCGCTCAGGAAACTCCCGATCTCATAGGCCCACCACTCAATGCACAGCATGAGCATGCTGGGGATGGCGAGGCGGAGAAAGGAGGCCCAGTCCTGCAGACACTCGAAGGACCACCCTGCAGGCAGGACACAAACACGTTTGCAACACATCCAGCCATCAGGCAGGAACTCAGTCGGAAACGAAACCCGCATCCAAGTTGGAAGACAAAAGGCAGCCTTTACCTCCCCAGGTTGCTACATGCAGTTTTCTCCAGAGGATGAAGAGAAAGAGGAGCAGGGCCAGGACGAACTGAGAAATGGTATTTGCCAGTGCTGAGCCCCTGGGAAGAACAGTCAGGGTGAGGGGAGAAGCCAATCTTCCATGCTCTCCCCACCTCACTTGGTGTCACATCCCAAGGTCATCTTCTTCCCAGAGCAGCATCACACTCCATCCCGACAGTGTATCCCACAGTGGCCCAAGAGGGAGACCACGCATGGACACAATGATCAGGGAAAGATCCCACTTTCCTCCCCCCAGGAAAAGCCATATGGAGTCATTCCCACGATTAGGTTGGACTCACATCACCCCGAGATGCAGTTGATGGAGAAACACATAGTTGGTGAGAGCGTTGACAAGGTTGGCTGCAACTCCAGTGATGATCTGGGGCAGTATGATTCCCTGAAACAAGGACAGACCACACTTCAGATCCTCGAGATCCATAAATGTGATGGGCGTCATCAGCATATAAATAGAAACTGAAAAGAAAGAGACAGCTCCACTCAGAGTAAGGTAAGCAGAGAACCGTGCAATCAACTCTTCTCCCCCCTTCACCCAAAAGTCCAAGCATTCACCGGGTTTCATTTGCTTCTCTTCCTCTCTTCTTCCCTCTCTGGTAGTATTTCTCCAAAACCCAGCTGCTTCCCTGCTGTCCTACACTTACGAATGGCCTGGGCATCCAAGATGGAGACCTGGTTTAAAGGAATTCCTTCCTCTCCTGTGGTCTCTACAGCCAACCAGTCCTTCCGACCTACAGAATCCACCCACCTTTGTTTCCCATTGTCCTCAAAGGACAATCCTTTCTTTGTCCTAGACCTTCATCAGCTTCTCTTGGGACTACATCCATTACACTCATCTCTTTCCCTGGCAACTCATTCATTTCCCCCAAACTAAAAGCCACAGCAAAGAATGCAAGGCTTGCTCATGCTTACCTGGGACCAGCCTGCCCGTGACAGTCCACTGTCTGTGTGTCACTCCACCCACGTTGCAGCCTAACCCAGACTCTGCAGTCTTGCTCCTGAATGGGGTCCCTCTGCCCTTCCCCTCCTTCCCAGCCTTGGGAGCCCAGGGCATCCCCCATAACCCAAGGGATACCTCCCTAACCCTGGGGAGCCTTAAGCCTAGGGTTCCTGTTCCTTCTGCCTCAGGGCATCAGAGAGGCTTTCACATCCACTCTTCTCAGCAGATCAAGTCAGACCTGTGGTGAGGAGCCCCCACATCTGTTGGGAAACTGAGGGTCAGGGAGAAAGCCTTGCAGTGTGCTAAGACTTCTGCGCGGCTTCACATGAGGCTGGAGGCTTCCAGGGCGCAGTCCAGAGCCCAGACGTGCAATTTCTGTCTCTGTACAGGCATGTCAAGCATATGATTCTGATACTAATAAAGAGTTGACTTTTTTTTGTTAATAAGGTAATATCTTTCCCCCCTCCATTTTATTGAGATTACTTGATAGACATCACTGTGTAAGTTCAAGGCAGACAGCATAATGGTTTACCCCCCATAACTTGTGAAATGACTAGCACGGTAAGTTTAATTAACATCCATCATCTCTTATAAATGCAATAAAAAAGGAAGCAAGGGGAAAAAAAGGGAAAAAATTTTCTCTTTGTGGTGAGACTTCTTAGGATCTACTTTCCAATACACCACATAGCAGGGTTTTCTTAACCACCATGGTAAATATTACATCTGTTAGGGGGAAAAGGATGTCCTAAAGCTAATTCCATACAGGCTTTGTGGACTCCACCCCCACCCCAGGCCAAAGCCAAAGACACTGGGAACTCCAAATCCCGTCACCACCAAAGGGAAGGTGGCTGGCACCTGAGGGTGGGGTTAAGCAGCCAGGTTGGTATAGTCAGACACATGGGCTTTGGAGAGGTTCCCCCATTTTGGCTCTCCGCCAGCTTGCAGCGTCTGGCCAGCTCTGAGAGTGCCTTTGGGTTTCCAGGTCGGCAGATCGGGTAGGACGCATTAAAGACTTTATTTCCCTATTTTCTCCCTGAGTTGTACATTTTCCTTATTTCTTTTTCCCTTGTAAATAAACCTTTTATTAACCTTTTGTGTGTGCCTGTAGTGGAGTATTAGTAAGTCCCTTGTAAGCGTGCGGGTGAGGACCCACAGCCAGGCAACCCGCTCAATATCGGGGCTGCTCTATAACACATCTTTTGCACTTATTTATCTTATCATATAACTGGAAGTTTGTACCTTTTTACTACCTTCAAACCCAATAGGATAATAACCTAATTTTAAGAACATTAAATAGATGGAAAACGTCTTTCTCTCCTCCCTTCTACTCTTTCTTATGCCCTGGAAAGCCAGCCTGTGTGGCCATGAGCCAGACATGCCCGGTGCTCTCATTTATCTGGATTTCTCTAGAAGGAGGTCGAGGACCCCATACAAGCTGGCATCATAAATCCCTATCTACAAAGCCAAGGGCAACTGGCCTCTGGCCATCATTGTTAGCCACACATGAAGAGCTCTGACTCACGCCAGGCCTCATTACAATTTGAGCTTTCATATCCTCACTGAGGAAAGTGGCGCCTTTCAGTCAGAGGCTGTTTCCCGGGTACACGCCAGGGAGCAGACAGGTATGCATCCTTTCTCCCCACTCACTCAGGGAGTGGGGTTGTCATATTGAGCCAAAGAACACTACAGCTCCAATCCTATCCTTATTGCCAACGACAATATTTCCAAGTGGAGAGCTGATACAAATTTTCCAGAGCCAAAATAAATGCATCCTTTCCTTGATATCACTTAACAAAGCTCCCACTGCCAAAGCCCTGTGTGCGCTGACGGGAAGATGTATTTCAGTGGCTCCCTGCAGGCCCGCCGCTCCACCCTGGTCTCCCTTATCCTTGAGTATTCTCAAGGCCCCACAATCCCAGGAAGGTATAAACTCCTGTTGCATCCCCCCCACTGCCCACAAAAAGGGATAGTCTGCATTACCTGGTTGAGCAAATATTTAACTTGTAATGTATAAAGAAAGGTTGCCTAGAAAAGAACAAGAGAAATGAAAGTTAATATTTTGGCCTTGCCATCCATCCAGCAGTGAGCTGGGAGTCATGTCTTGGCTGCCTTCTATTCCCACACAGAGCCAAAAGGTACTCTATCTCAGGAGCGGGTGGGGGAAGGGTGGAAGCCAAGGTATCTAAGTTTGAGGTGCTCCACACATTTCTTTTAGATGAACATATCCAAGCAAACCTGGGGTTTCCTTGCTGCTTTGTTAGGACACTTGTGGGGGTGGGGGTTGGTAGCCCCAGGGCAAGGTCTAGGAGAAGCACCTACTTTGTAAACTATAGTCCTCCCATTTGGTGGAATATTTAAAGAATATTCAACTTAAAAGGCTTCAGCTTAAATTACAAGCCAAGGGCCAGGCCTCAGGGAAAATCAACCCGTGAACACTTCCTCTTGAATTTGCCAACAACTTCTTATTGTTAAGTCACCCAGCCTGTGGTACTTTGCTATGGCAGCTCTAGCACGCTAGTCAGCATGACTGGCTCACTGAATATTTTCACTCTGAGCTTTTATTGACCACACATGACTGTGTCGACATGTACACACACTTAGGATTCTGCATGATCACATACAACAAGCAGAAAAAAAAAGTCTCAAGCTTCAGTGTGAGGCCTTCAGGGGTCCTGATGGAGAAGACTATCCCAATACAATAAAGGTCTGTGTTCAGTTCCAAAAAGATCCCTGAGGCACCTCAGGTGCTGTTCAGGGCAGTGACCCATTGGGATGGCCTCAACCTTGGTATTTCTCAAGGAGCAAAAGTTTGTGTCTTTTATGGGCCTAATTAATGCCTTTCTTTCTTAAAAGAAAGGTCAACACCATATGTGGGAATCATACAAGACGTGGTCAATTCATCAAGCTCATGAGCACCTCGGCTACTTGTACCCATGGATTTCAAGAAGGGGACCTCTTAACCCAAGAACACTCACAGGAAGAGCAGGAATGAAGATCATGACATAGGTCTGGGTAAGCCTACATAAAGAAAGAGAAAAAAGGATGATAGACATCTCCATTTCAGGGACAAGGTAACAAAAAAACCAAACTGAAACTGCCTTTTGCATTCTTGGAGTTCTTAAATCAATGGGCTTGGATGACTGGAGTGAATATGATACTTTACACATAGAGCTTATCATTCTATAACCCTCTTGGTTCCAAGTCTTTGGGTCTAAGACAGGGTTTGTCAACCTCAGCAATGTAGTTGGAGTTCTCTGTGATGGGCAGCTGTCCTGTGCATCATAGGATGTTTTGCAGCATCCCTGATTTTTACCACTAGCAACCCCCCAATATCAGTTCTGATAAACAGAATTGTCTATCAATATTGCCAGATGTCCCCTGGGTTCAGAGCCACTGGTCTAAGGCAGGAACTTTTAAAGATCTTTGTCAACTAAAACCATAGGCCTCAAAGTTGATGGCACATTAGACTCCTCTGGGGAACTTTGGCAGATACTGACACCAGGCCGCAGCCCAGACCAATCAAAACAGTACACTGTGGGGGGAGAGGACCCAGGCATGAGTGAATTTTCAAGGCACCAGAGGGATTTAAATATTAACCAGGATTTCCCTTGTGGTACAAAGAGTTAAGCGCAGCACTGTGAAGCTATCCACAGCCTCTGCAACACGAATTTGATCCCAGCCTGCCAGGGAGCTACCCACATGGCACAACAGACCTCTCCTGTCTCACCCGCTGATCCCCTCAGCAGTGTGTTTTGGTCGGTCTGCCTGTTCTGTTCCCCACTCTGTCTCTTGTGAATCCTCTCACCCGCCCTCCCCTCTGCACCTCTGGCCTGTTCCCCAGTTCTCGTGTGCATAAATAAATAAATCTCTAAAAAAAATGAAAATAAATAAATATTAACTGTGAGACTTAGCCACTGTTCCTCCATCTTGTCTATAACCACCATTTTAGTATTTCAAGTTTTGGTTACTCAAGACTAAATAGCCTGCATTCCAGAGAAGGTTTCAACCCCACCCCACTCTGGTCTTATCTCGGATGGCCAGCCACAGCAGAGCCGAGCAATGGGGTCTAACTAGCCATAAAATGGAGCCGAGCAATTTGGGCCACTAATGGGGTCAAACTAACCATAAAATAGAGCTGCATCTCGATGTGACTAATCAGCTCAAAAACTGAAACTGTGTACCCACCGTTGTTAGGAAATGCACCTGTGTCACCAATGAATGTTTGCCAACATGATTTAATTTTTAGAAATCTGCTTGTAACCCTATATAAGATCCCTGTTCCCTTTATTCAGGGCTCTCGACATCTGCCATTGCATCAGTGGGTGTCGTGAGGCCAGACTCAAGCCCGTAATAAACTCCTTTGCGTTCTTGCATCGGCTGTCTGTGTGTCCTTAGGGGCTGCACTGGTCAACATTGGGCACAACATTAACCATGGTCAAGAATCACAAAACCATGAACAAACACCACAGACTACCATCCAAAATGAAGAACAATTGCAAACCCAATTTCACTCAAAACTGTTTACCCTAGAAGTCACCCAGACAGGGAGAGGTCTAACATTAAGTCCTGATAGTCATGCGAGACAAGATCCCCTTTCTTAGTGTGTGGTCTTGTCCCTGGCATTTGTAACTCCTGGAAACTGCACTTAAGACTACCTTCTGTTGGGATGGACTCCAGTCCTGCCCTGGCATGTCCTGTCTTACCTGGACACATCCGGGTCCTGCTTGAAGAGCAACAGGATCTGCTGGGTGTTGAGGAAAAGCGCCCAGCAGGGAAAGCAGCACAGAAGCAGCACGAGCACACCCTTTTGCAGGATGACCCCCACATGCTTCAGGTTCCGGCTCCCGAATGTCTAGGTGCACATAGCCAAGATGAACCCATTAGCACTGTGTGGCACCCTGCTACTCCCCACCCAGACCTCCAATCATGTGTCATAAAGAGATAGTCCCCCATGTGAGGCTAATGTACATCAACCTGGGTTGCATCACCTGGAAACTAAAAACGCAAATTCTTAGGCCCCATGCAGAAACTCGGGGGGCAAGGCCAGAGGGACACTGGAGTCAGCTCCTATTGACTTGCAAAAGTCAAACTGTGCACATCTTTTCCCAGGTCCACATTCAGTGATATCTCTATTGCAGCTTGAAATTAGCCACAGAGTGAGTAGCTGATACCAATGGAATTGGCAAATCCTTCGTGGCAAAGCATTTCCCCCCATTCCTACCCATGGGGCCTTGTCTTTAAATATTTACCATCAGATCCCTGGATGGGGCCACCAGCCTGTGTTGTTTTTTTTTTTGTTGTTGTTGTTTTTGTTTTTGTTTTTAAAGATTTATTTATTTATTTATACAAGCACTGGGTACAGTCAGAGGTGTGGGAGGGTGAGAGAATTCACCAGAGCCAGAGCGGAGAGCAGAGCAGGCAGACTGACGAAATACACTGCTGAGTGGAACAGCGGGCGGCAGAAGAGGTCTGCGTGCCATGTGGGACCCTCACCTGGCAGCTGGGGATCGAACTGGCGCTGCAGAGGCTGTGGGCAGCTTCGCAGCCCAGCACTCAACTGCTGCACCACCAGGGGAGGCCCCCCCAGCCTGTGTTTTAACAAGCCCTCAGACTGAGATGCACATGAAAGTTTGACAACCATTTTGTCCATATTTTGACTTGGAAGGCAGCTATGTTCACCACTATACCATCAATGCTAAACTCAATGACATGGAAAGTGATAAAAAGGACTTTTACATAATATCCCTCATGTGATCAAAGTGTAATGTAGTTGTCTAGCTGTGCAGATAAACACTGGTTCACCAGCCTAAGAGTCACCCAGCCACATTTCAAAGAAAGCAGGCAAGGACAACTTGGCATTGATGGCTGACAAAATGCTGCTACAGGGTTTACTGGTGGGAATTTGTTCCCTCTGCACACGACTCTCCCTTGATGCAGTGGGGTTCTTCCAGCTACATCCAAGAGAACATGCCCAGGATCACCGTGAGAGTGGTCTGGGCTTCCTTTTACCTGGGAGATGAGGGTGTCACAAGCAGAAGATAAGCCAAATCCCACAGAGATACCAGTGACATTGATAACCTGGAAAAAATCACAAGAAGAAGGCCACACAGAGTTAAAGGAGGAAAAGCAGGCACATTCTCTGCCTGCTCTGCTCAGAGCCTATGGATCTTCAGTCAGGAGGATCCTAACTCAATGACATCACCTTTGCTGACTGCCTGGGGTCCTCTGCAGGTGGACCAAGTGCATTTAAAGGACACACAGATTTAGAGAGGGAAGAAAATCTTAGTCAGAGTTTCTCATCCAGGCTTTTTCTTTTGCAAGTCTAAGCATTTTGTTCCCCAATTTCAGAGGAATGTGAATCCTTTTTAAGGGATTAATACAATGTGGTACGATAGAACTTTGGGGCAAAGCCACATGCACAAACTCAAGTATGGTCTATCACAACATCCTGAAGGGCTCTGGGGGCACAGAAGCAAGTCCTGAAGTAAGGCTAAGTGTACTTGTCCTGACCAGATCAGCAACAACACCCAGGTGTTCCCGGAGCTTTGGGAAACCCAGGGTAGGGTCCCTAAACCAAGTTGTTGTATCACGTGTCACCTGGTGCTCTCACTGTCTGGAAACCGTTAACGTCACCTGAGTCCACTTGGAGGCCCCTGGAGACAACCTAAACCAGGCCCAACTTTAAAACTCCAACCCTCTTGCCTTTCCCTGGCCAGAGAGAATTTGCTGGAGGCTTGCTGAGTGCTTTTCTGTCTTCCTCCAAATTGGCAAACATTAAAGACTGAAAAGAAGCTTGAGGTTATTTTTGTTACTCCCTGAAAATAAAATAATCTGTACCTTGTGTGGCTGGGAACTAGTTTAGGGTAGTCTTGAACAGTTCAGAGAGAGCAAACACAGATGCCTGTGGGAATTAGGCGGGTAAACTGAAGGATGTTTAGGGAGACTGGGAGCAAAGGAAAACTGAGGAAGCTTCAGGGACCAGGGACACAACCTGCAAAAATCCATTGAACCCACTTCTGTAGAAATACCTAACTTGGCATAGATAGTTAATCCCTGATAAATTAATGATACAGCTCTTTGGTTTGGGGAGTTTGCATCAAGGATACAGTGAAGATTCAGGGTTCCATCCACTTTTAGATTTGGACACTAGGGTCTAGTTCCATTTCTGGATTAGGACTGTCAGTGAAACAGACAAGTCATGTAATGGGGGAGTCACAGTTCCTCCTGATGCAATTTAGGAGGCAGACAGCAACCCCCACTTTCACAATCCCTTCTTCCAGATATGGGACCAAAAGTGGGAGTCCAAAGTCCATGGATTGAAAATTAGCCCATCAGGTAGACAGTATGATAGGCCTCTAAATATGTCCTCATCCCTTGCCCCCAGAACCTGAGAATATGTGAGGCTACATGGCAAAGGAATCTTAAATTTACAGCTCTGCCAACACCTTGATATGAACCAGTGAAATCCACTTTGCTCTTCTGACTGCCATTAGTGTAAGGTAATCAATTTGTGTTGTTTAAACCACCAAAGTGTGGTCATTTGTAACAATAACAAGAGGAAACTAATACCCATAGCTTTCATCAATCTGTGTGAGAAAGCCCCATACGTACTGCAATGGCAAGTGTGACAGCATCCAACTCCAGCTTCCCCAGGTGGCCACAGAACACAGAGCTTATGAAGCTGATGAGGAACACCATCAACTGAGCCAGGAACTGGAAGAATCAGAAAAAAGAGGTTGCACCTGAGTGTCAAGTATCACCATGGAAAGAGAGAGGCACAGTTTCCAGGGGCTCCCCAGTCTCTCCAAATCAACTCCAGTCAGAAGGAAAGAAGCACAGATTTTAATGAGCGTCTGCCAGTTTTTACAGTTTTTATTTTTTAAAGATTTATTTTTTATTTATACAAGAGCTGGGGCACAGGCCAGAGGCCCAGGAGGGTGAGAGGATTCACCAGAGACAGAATGGGGAGCAGAACAGGCAGATGGACTGAAAGCACTGCTGAGGGGAGCAACGGGCACGGCAGGAGAAATCTGCCACGCCATATGGGAATCTCCCTGGCCGGCCGGGAATCGAATCCACGCTGCAGAGGCTGTGGACAGCTTCACAGCACTGCGCTCAACCCGCTGCACCACCTGGGAGGCCCAAATGTACAGTTTTTTAAAAAGATTTATTTATTTATGCATAGAAGAACTGGGGTACAGGCTAGAAGTGTGGGGGGTGAGAGGATTCACCAGAGAGAGAGTGGGGAGCAGAATAGGCAGACTGACTGAAATACACTGCTGAGGGGAGCAGCGGGTGAGACAGGAGAGTTCTGCTGCACCATGTGGGTAGCTCTGTATAGTTTTGATGGACTTCTTGAAATATTAAAAAGTTCATTTGCAACCACAATTAGAATCATATTTTTGAGAATTTCTTGTCTTTTTCAATTTATTTTTCATTTCAGATTCTCATGCCATAAATCACAGGTGTGTTTTCTCTGAAATTTTCAGAGGCTGCCTTCTGGGAGACCCCTTTGATTCCTAGCAGGGACTAGGGATAATAAAACCTTTGATAACAAGAGTGTCAGCCAGCAAGACCTTCCATAGACAGGAACATCGAAGACAAAAGTGAGATCATCCAACTGGAAAATCCATGCGACCTTGACCCTCAGGGCGGAAAGTCACTGTATTGTGAAGCATCCTTAATTCTGTGCAATCTCTGATGTGAGGGCAACTCTTGTTCCTGGCACATGGAGCCATCCTTCCTCACAATTCCAGGAACCACCACAAGCCGCCCCACAGGGCTTAAGCTGCACTTGGACACGGCCTTATTTCTTTAGGTTGATTTAAAAACACCTCTTTCTCCCTGCCTCGGAAATCCAGTGCTTTTTGGGAAAGTCCCTCTCCCATGGGATGCTTATGTGGTCCCAGTGCAGGGTTCATCTGATTCTTACTTCCCAAGAGAGAGAACAAGTTCTGAGGATTCACTGCCACTCAGGTCTGTCCCAAGTACCCTTTTCGAAGCCAGTGCCCCAGGGTGTGGAGATGCTTCTTGCTCTTCCAATCAACCATCAGCCTCTCACAGTTCTGTAACAGAAACAAACTCCTCCATGCTGTGCCCACACAGGGCTCCATCTTGAGTCCCCGATGACACATCTTCTACTCCTCACTTCCACCAGCCCATACAAGCCCATCTGCAGGCACTGCAGTCACCCCCAAATTACTATGTCAGGACCTGATCAGGTCCCTATCCATGATGGTTCAGATGACCACCTCCTTTTCTTCCCCAACTCCACATCTGAAGATAGACAGTTTTCAGCTCTGCTCAGGTCTTCAAAATATGAAAGGCCTATTTCTAATAGGTAGGGGCACACCTTTCCTGTGTCAGCTCCCAAACCATGACCCAGCGCTCTTACTGCCACAGGAATCACATGTGGCTCTAATCTCTAATGGGGCCTCTTGCTACTTACTAGAAGGGTCACTTTCAGTATGCATGGCAAAAGTAAGGCCAAATGGGACAGAAGCCATAGGATAATCAAGAGCTGGGAGCAGAGGTGTAAATAAAAAAGGGCGATATGAAAAACCGGATTCAGTAAACCTAAAGCCGGCGTGATGGCCACCTGCATGGGGACAGGCCACATCAGGCGTTCTCTGTGGTTTTATGGTATAGACACTGCTGCGCCCTCCATTACCAATTGTATAACTTTAAAGGTCACATGTTTCTTTCTTTTTACAAACTTAGCATCACTCTGGAACCTTTTCAGGTCACCATCCTTTCAGCCTCTCTGTACTCAGACCGTTGCAACTGTTTTCTCCCTCTCCATGATCATTGTCTTTCTTCTCAACAGTGCTGTCTCCCCACACGCCCCATAAGCTGTTTTTCATGGCTTCACATGAAAACACACTCAGTCTCCTCTAATTGTCAGATCTCTGGGCCTTTTCCCAGATTTTGCTATTACAGATTGGACTGCTCAGAATTTCTTTTTTGTGTGGGTGGGGGGAGGCATTTTCTTAGGGCCAGAGCCCAGTTCAAGGTTAGGAATCACTAAATCTATTAGCTTAGAGGCCAGATAGTCTAGCTGATTTAAACTAATCTAGTTAAACTAGTCTAGCTGAGTTAAACTAATGTGAGATGCATTTTCAACTATCCCTGCAAGCTAAAACCATTTCTTCGCTGCTGCAGCTAGGGTTATGGCAGTTACGCAGGGCTCGGATTGCCCAATGCAGTGGCTCTCCTGAGCTGCAGCCCCAGGAGGATCTCGGCCCCAGAGTTCATATTTGCTAACCACAAACTTATTCTTAGATCCTTATTTCAAGCCTTTCAGACAAGCTCTTGGCCACAGCTTGTGGTTCGTGCACACAACGATCACCTGGGAGGTTGTTCTGCCCACCCTAGCCCTATCTCAAGAGATTGATTCCCAAGGTCCATTGGAACCTTCAATATATGCCCCATAACCCCTTCTAATACCCAATCAAGACATGGTGGGCAAGGACCAGGCCCTTCAAAACTGTCCCATCACAGGGCATGTGGCTGTGCCCAGGGAATTAACCAATTCTGGGCAAAGGTTGGTTCCCCCAGATGTCTCAACAATGCTGTCACAACAATAGTCTGATGTGGTCAAATGGACATGGAAATGGCCAGACCTCACTTGTGTTCCTTGTTCTTGTCACAGAGACCCTGCTCATTTTCAGACCAGGCATTTTATTACCTCCTGGCAGCCTCAGAAGGGAGCTTCCAGGGCCAGAAGCCAGAGGGGAAATAGGTCTAAACCTGCCCAGTGTGCTGTACCAGCATGCTTCTGGAAGGCCCCATTCTTATCCTCTGTCACGGATGCCTGGAAGTTGACTCCTAGCAGCAAAATGTTAGCACTAGAAGGAGACAGCACGGTCACTGAGTCATTGGATACAGCCTCTTCTTTGACACATGAGAGAGCAACAAGAAGTCAGGTTGAACGATCAGCCCAAAGTCATATAGCTAATTAGTGGCAGAGATGTAACTAGGACTCATGTCACCTTGTATTCAGATGGTCCATTTGGGCCCATATCTTCAGGCTATGGGTATGCGTGAGTGGAACATCATTCCATTCCTATCCCATGAGTACCTACAGTGTAGCAGGGAAAAGAGATCAAGTCGTAATAACTTGTACACATGTGGTGGGCCCTACAAAGGAGACAGGACCTTGGAGACCATAGCACAGGAGTCAGAGAAGGATCCTAGAGGAAATGAAGTTCAGCTGACACCTGAAGGATGAACTGGCAGGTGAAGGTGGCCTGTCTATCCGGAGTGAATGTTCTAGCCACAGGGAACAGAGCACAGCAGGAGGGTATGGGGTTTGAGGCATGGCTGAAGTACTGAAAGAAGACTGTAGTGGAGGGCAATGGGGTAAAGTGAAACAAGGCTTCAGAGGACCCTAGAGAGACAGAGAATGGGGGCAACAAGTTCTGATGTACTTTTGAAGAGGAGTTGGGTGACTCCAGGGGGAACACTTTGGGCTCCATGAGCTGAAGTGGGAGCAACCAGTTGGAGGTTGGGGGGGCCCAGCTTGGAGCATGCTGGTGGAGAGGAGAAGCTGTGCATCCAGCTGAGAGGTGCTTGGGTTCAAGTGAGGATGGGGAGGTGAACGGGAAGGTTCTGGGCCATCTCAGGTTGCTATTCACTCCTGTCACTGAATATTTCCTCACCCCTCACATCCATCACACTTTGAAATCTCTCCCAGATGAAGTCTTCTCCATTTAGGCCTTCGTCAGTGTGGCCTAGATTGTTTTCTGCCTCGTGTGTCACTAAACACTCCCTACTAATTATTCCCCCAATGCCTACAGGAGAAAATGCAACAGCAGTAAATCAGTCCCTCCCTTGCCCTTCACCTGGAGGGGCCCTCCCTGGTCTTCCTGACTTGGAGCACTAGAAAGTTCTCTAGCTCTCTTCCAGGTTTTCCTTTCCTCCACAATAGATGAAAGCAAGCTCCCTCCACTCTTTCATACCCTTGGCAATGCTGTGGACAACTGATGCCCCTAGGGAGTAGCCAAACCCTTTTTGAAATTTTTTTCCAGGACCCTGATAATTCAGCCTGACTGGGAGATGCGAATGACAAAGAGAGAGCAAGGTTGAAATGCCTGAGGCTAGGTAATTCTAACCACCACCCTTCCTCCCCCACAAATACACATTTTCCTAAAGCTTTCTGTGGGGTAGATGGAAAATGTATCGATAGCATCTTTTCCAATGCGCATGGTTCATTTCAAATGCTTTCCTTTGTGTCCTGCATTATTCCCTCTTGACAAGCGTCATTTAAATGAAGCTCAATAGGAGAATGGTGAATCCTAGCACCTTACCCAGAGTCCTATTTTGGATTCTCCTAGCTCAGGGTTAATATGAGATGCCTGGAAGGGAGATAGTGAATGGGAGAGAAAAAACATAGAGAGGTCAGGCATTCTACTTAAATCCAGTGGAGTCTCGGAGAGCAGAGTGTACACACTGCGCAGGGGAAAGAAGGGGCAAGATAGATGGGAAATGGACAACTCACAAGAGTTGGGAATAGAGAGACCAAGAGGGGCTCCATCTACAATGTATGAGACTGAACAGGTGCATACTCTGTCCCCATTGGGGAACACTGTCACACAGAACACTCACAAATGACTGGAAGGGAAAATTGCCAAATTATCTCTCAATGGTGAGATTTCAGAGTTTTTTCCTTTTGTTTGCCTTGGATTTTTTTTTTTCTACAGGGAATCTATGTTACATTTGCAACAAACACAGTCACATATGTGTACACACAAACAGAAAGTGTGAGAGCCTGGTGTGTGCTCATCCCTGCGCACCAGAAGGCCCTCCTACATCGTGGGGACAGGTGACTGCAGCAGAGAGACAAAGGACCTGTCTCTAGGAGGAGTTGGGGTTCAAGAAACCTCCTTGTGCTATTTTTTATACTATTAGAGAAGTAAATGACTTTCGGAGACCTTTCTTACAGCAACTTTGCAAGGAAATGGTGGGCCAATGCATAGATTATTATCCTCTTTATGGATAACAGGCAGAAGCTGGAAGAGGTTCGGTGAGCACTCGAGTTCACATAACTGTTTCCTACCCTGCCTTCTGAATTCAAAGCGGGGAAATGGGCCCCAGGTATTGAGTTTCCAAACCATTTGTTCTTTCCTTTCTACGAGAAATCTTTGAAAACTTCTTCCTGCTAGGTGACCTTTCATCTCAGAACTTATTCCTGCCATTATTCTTGCCACCTGCACACCACACAGTGGGTATCACAAGATCCCCTGAGTATCGGTGTCACCGTGCCAGGAGATCACACTTGCCTGCTTAGCCTTTGCAGGTGCAGAGTGTCCACCCCCATGGCCAAAGGCTTCTTCTCCACTTAAAAACATGCCAGGTTCTTCCTGTCCAATGAAATGGGGGCCCTAACCTGGTGACTTAAAATCACCCCACTGGAAGCAGAACCTGAGTGGGTTATATTTTTATAGTTCCTAAAGCCTTAATCCAAGATAGAACCACATTAAAAATTCTTTTCTATATACAATAATTGGGAGGGCGTGTGTGGGTGTGTAGGACCGGATCCTCCTGGTTTCCTCATGCAGAGGCTGATGAGACTTAATTCCACAGAAATTGCTTAACAGCTCTAAATCCATGACAGGCACCATTCACTTTCCTCCACGCTTCAAAAACCTTGTTTAGATACCTGAGCTCCCAGGCTACAGCTATTATTCAAACAAACCAAATGCCCAAGTGTTTCCAAGTTCCGGAAACTTGAGCTGAAATCCATGCCTAGGGAAGGCACCGGCTTGCACGCCTTTGGGCGAGCAGGTCCGGCTCCGCAGAGACGCCCAAAGCCTAGGCGCTGGCCAGCTGCGCCCGGCGGGTCAGGCAGGGCAGCCGGGGGGCAGGGGCGGGAGGGGGGTTGCAACGCGCGGCCGGGAACTAGGGCGCAGCCACCCGCACTCGCGCCGGCCCCGCTCCGGGCGCTGATCACCCTCCCCGGGCGCCAGCGGGCGGGTCTGCCCGTCGCCAGCCAACTGCTCCACTCCACTCCCCAGTTATAATGGGCGACACGGATCCCCGGTTCCCCAGTCCGCAGAATGTGACTGGGCCACTTTACTCACCGCGGGCCCCGCCAGGACCAGGAGCTCCCGCAGCTCCTCTCGGAAGTCGGACAGGGACAGGCAGCGTGGCCCGCGGCGCTCGGCAGTGGCCGCCCGGCCTGCGCGCTCCGGCTGGGGCTCCTCGCGAGCCTCCATGTGTCTGGTGCCTCGCGATCCCGGAGCGCGGAGGTTGCGGCCGGCGGATAGGGTGCAGGGCCTGCCCCCCTTTCCAGTCCCCGCCCCAAGCCCTGGGGCCCGGCTGAGCGCGCCTCCTGCCAGTAGGCGACCTTGGACGCGCCCCTTGCACCTCCGCGCCTCTACTTAACGGTTTTTGGAAAGGCTCGCGAACTCCTGGCCTTGGACGGCAAAGTTTGGAAAAGCTCTGATAACAAACGGAAAGCTTGAAGGGAGAGGGGACGGGGGTGCGGGGTGGGGAGGGACAGATTGAGAGGGGCTGGGTCCTCCGATCCTCGGACACTAGGGCTCGCCCTGGCTCTGAGCCTCTTCTGAGGGTTTCGGGTTCTGCAAGTGTGCGTGGAAGGACTAGTGTTCTCCAGCCTGCCAACCAGATGCGCGTTGGGGCACACGCCGGCATCCGGACACCGCCAAGCTTTGACGCTACCTGCTCCGCAGATTGTCCTCAACACATGCTTTGAGACTGGATTTGGAATTTGCGGACTCCCATTCCCCCCACCCCGCCCCCGCCAGTTGTTCCATTCAAGGACGTAGAATCTATCACAGTAAAGCAAGGAGCCCACATTTTCCAAATAGGAAGGCTCGCCTTCTCTGAATAGCACTTTATTCTTTCACAGTTCTGGAGACCAGAAGTCTGAAATCAAGGAGTTGGCAGCTGAGTTCCATCTTGGGGGTTCATAGGGGAAATCTGTTCCTTGCTTGTCTCCCAGATCTCCTAAACACCTCCCTGGATATTTATAAGCCAGAGATAGGGATAGGGCAGGAGGCTATGAGCCTCAGGCAAAGGTGCATCGAGGGCCACCACCTGCGTTCTGGTGGGAGCCCGTGGCAACTTGCTTGCCTTCGAGAGTCTCAGTTTCCTTCCTTGCAAACTCACATTAATATCTACATCGCTGGCTGTTGTGAGGATTAAATGAGATTGTATAGCTGGACCATGTACCCTCAACCTGGTGCACAACACAAGCCTAATAAATGTCAGTTACCAGGACAGAGACGTTTTCTGTAATAGTCAGCATTCCTTCTGCTGCAAGTGACCCGACTTTAACATAGAAAATGGGAAAAAAAATTGCTTGGCTCACATGACAAGAAAGTTCATTTTTAGGGATCTTTTAAAGGCCATTGGTATTCTCCTTCCTGCTCCTCTTCCCCTGTCCTGTTCTCCCAATAATTTTTTATTATTTCCTTGGTTTCGTTCTTTTTCTGTGGGCAGTCTCTCTCTTCCTGTGCAGGGGTAGGTGGTCTCCAGGGTGGGTCTTTCCCAACCTGTAAGCCAGAAAGTAAGACCATCTCCCATTCTCCTCTAGCGCCAAACAAACAAACAAACAAAAAAACTTGATTGATCCTGCTTAGATTTCTTGCCCATCTTTGGAACGACCAAACTGATTAGGAAAATAGGGCTTTCTAATTACCTGGACCTGGACCATATGCTCAGTTCTGTAGCAAAAGGATTGGCTGCTATCTGTGGCAGCAAAAATCTCACCAGGATAACCTGTAGGGAGTATTGGAGGATGCATTTCCCAAAAGAAATGAAAGGTCTTAATAGTCAAAAGTCCTAGGCTATAACTAGATCGCCAATCACTGCTATTCTTCACTAATGTTCTAGAGTCTTAGCAAATGTAATAAAACAGAAATTTAATACATAAATATGGGGAAAGAAGAGGCAAAATCATTACTTGCAGTAATAATTTCAGACAATTTAAAGAAATCAAATGGGAGGAAAATAATAGAACTAACAAAGGAGTTTGATAAAGTTGTTACATACATGTTCTTCACTAGATAATAGCAGTCTTTTATATCATTAATAACATATGCAAATATTAGAAGAAATCTCTTTCACAATATCAAAACTAACACTCCATGTGATGTGGACTACAGCTTCCCACCCCTCAAAAGTGAGCTGTGCACAGTAACTTCCTTCCAAAAAGAACAGTATGGAAATAGGAGCTTAAATGATAAAAGTTGTTTTTTTTTTAATTCCTTATTTTTATTTTTTTATTTTTATATTCCCCATATAATTGTACCCCCTTATTATGACACCCCCTTTCCCCGCCCCCCCATAGTTTGTCTCTGGTTTATAGTTGTTTGTTGATTTTGATTTTTTCTTTCTTATAGTAATTCTTTTTCCTGGCCCCTTATTTAGGTTTTCTAGATTCCTGCTATGAGTGAGACCATCCAGTATTTTTCTTTTTCTTTCTGGCTTATTTCGCTGAGGATGATCCCTTCCAGCACCATCCATGTTACTGCAAATTGCATGTGTTTATCTATTTTGATTGCTGAGTAATATTCCATGGTGTATATGTACCACATCTTCTTGATCCAGTCATCTATTTTTGGGCATTTGGGCTTTTTCCACAGCTTAGCTATTGTAAACAGTGCTACTATAAACATAGGGGAGCAGGTGCCCTTTGGAATTAATGTTTCTATGTCATTTGGGTAAATACCTAGGAGTGGAAATGCTGGATCATATGGAAGCTCTATCTTTAGTAGGTTGAGGAATCTCCACACAGCTTTCCATAGTGGTTGGACCAGTTTGCACTCCCACCAGCAGTGCAGGCGTGTTCCTGATAAAAGTTGTTTTTTTTCCAGAAAGTTCTGTGACACTTGGTTTGTCTTAAAAAATGGAATTCATCTTCACATTGTGTGAAATAGAGAGGGATAGTAACATTATAGTAGAGAAACCTGGCCAATACTACTCCAGGCAGTTGCTCAAGATTACTATCTAAGTTGATAAGTCACATTGATAGTATGTGACTGCCCATTTCCTAGGGCTACCACACCAATTGGTCATAAACTTTATGGTTTCACACAACAGAAGTTTATTCTCTCACAGTTCTGAGACCAGAACTCTGAAAACAAGTCGCTGGTTGGACTGGTTCCCTCTTGGGGGCTCACAGGGAGAATATGTTCCATCTTCTCTCTTAGCTT